CTCTTACTGCTCTCTTACTGCTCTCCTACTGCTCTCCTACTGCTCTCCTACTGCTCTCTTACTGCTCTCTTACTGCTCTCCTACTGCTCTCCTACTGCTGTCCTACTGCTGTCTTGCTGCTCTCTTGCTGCTCTCCTACTGCTCTCTTGCTGCTCTCCTACTGCTCTCCTACTGCTCTCCTACTGCTGTCCTACTGCTCTCCTACTGCTCTCTTACTGCTCTCTTACTGCTCTCCTACTGCTCTCCTACTGCTCTCCTACTGCTCTCCTACTGCTGTCCTACTGCTCTCCTACTGCTCTCTTGCTGCTCTCCTACTGCTCTCCTACTGCTCTCCTACTGCTGTCCTACTGCTCTCTTACTGCTCTCTTACTGCTCTCCTACTGCTGTCCTACTGCTCTCTTACTGCTCTCCTACTGCTCTCCTACTGCTCTCCTACTGCTGTCCTACTGCTCTCTTACTGCTCTCTTACTGCTCTCCTACTGCTCTCTTGCTGCTCTCCTACTGCTCTCTTACTGCTCTCCTACTGCTCTCCTACTGCTCTCCTACTGCTCTCCTACTGCTCTCTTACTGCTCTCTTACTGCTCTCCTACTGCTCTCCTACTGCTCTCTTACTGCTCTCCTACTGCTCTCCTACTGCTCTCCTACTGCTCTCCTACTGCTCTCTTACTGCTCTCCTACTGCTCTCTTACTGCTCTCTTACTGCTCTCCTACTGCTCTCCTACTGCTCTCCTACTGCTCTCTTACTGCTCTCCTACTGCTCTCTTACTGCTCTCTTACTGCTCTCCTACTGCTCTCTTACTGCTCTCTTACTGCTCTCTTACTGCTCTCCTACTGCTCTCCTACTGCTCTCTTACTGCTCTCCTACTGCTCTCTTACTGCTCTCCTACTGCTCTCCTACTGCTCTCTTACTGCTCTCCTTCTGCTCTCCTTCTGCTCTCTTACTGCTCTCCTACTGCTCTCCTACTGCTCTCCTTCTGCTCTCCTTCTGCTCTCTTACTGCTCTCCTACTGCTCTCTTACTGCTCTACTACTGCTCTCTCCTACTGCCCTCCTACTGCTCTCCTACTGCTCTCCTACTGCTCTCCTACTGCTCTCCTACTGCTCTCCTACTTGTCCATTCTCTGACTCACAGACTGACCCAGAAACAGGACTCCTCAGTGAACATTTGGATATTGCTGCAGGTCTCAGGTGACATGACATCATCAGAAGTGGCCACAGAGACACAGCTTTCATTACAATACTAGTTTTACTCTGATAAAACATGCACATGGTCTCACATCAAATAAAGTCATCAGTTACAGTCTATTTTCAGAAGGTGCTGGTCCTGGACTGGTTCTGGGCTGGTCCTGGGTTGGTAGTGGATTGGTTCTGGTCGTGAGCCGAGATTATAATGTGTCCAGATGTTACCAGTGTTACCAGTTAGCATTTGGTCGTTTGCTGTATTTCAAGTTATATTAACCAACTTTTAGGTAAATTCATTTGTTTGATTTTAATAAAATATCAAAAAAACACAAACTGCTTTTTAGGGTTTTTCAGAATTCTGTCGAAACCGTCAAATTGACTGCGCTGGGAGTTCTAGTATTTCAGATTTCTGAGAGTCCGAGTGTTAAAGGTGACTTGGACAGTGATCACCTGTAACCTGCTCTGATTGGTTGTTCAGTATCAGACCGCTCCATACACACATTGATAAGTTTCATTGAAATTGGCCTCGTTCAGTGAAACGACTGTCTTTATGATATTAAACATTCACCAACCTCGCTGCAGGCGGCAACAAACGTGACTCAAGACTCCTCTGTTTCAATCATTAACGTCACAACATCAGATTGTTTATCCTTCACTGAGCTCAGGTTAAGGCAGGTTTGGTTCCATTCTGTAGAATATTAGTGGAACCACTTGTTTTTGTCTCACACTGAAGACAAAGGTGTGTTTCCTGCTGAGTCAGATCCAGTTTCTCAGAGCTGCTCAGACCCAGAGTCCAGTTTCACACACATGGACCAACAACAGGTGTCACTGGTCCTGCTCCAGTCAACAGTATCCTCATGCAGATTTAAAGCTGGGGTACCTCACTTTGTTGTTGCAGAAATGACACTTCTTTTTGCTGGTGAAATGTTGCGAACAAATTAGATTAAATCCCATTCAAAAGCAGGTTAAATCTCCTGCAGACTTGTGAGAAAGAGCCCTATTGAGTCAGTATTGATGCTTCAGGCTGGGAGCTGATTGGCTGAGTGAAGGGGGTCCTCTCTTTAGCACTTACTGTATGTGTCTAAGAAAAAGGTGATCTAAAAATGTGTCAGAGCTTAGAAAAAAATATATATATACTCAAGATACATGCGTGTGAAAACTAGTGACTGAACCAAACTAAACAAACAAGTTGGTTAGTGAAAAATATTATAAAGTTAGAAGTTAGATTCCCCAGCTTTAGTTCTGTGAGCAGTTTGGGTCAAATACGTCATATTTAGTTTTGACAAAGGCTGTGTTTTACATGATCTCTTTTGCAGATTCCTGGGAGTTCCCTTTAACAAAGCATGTACAAATCATAGGAATTGGTAATCTGTATAAATTCTGTGTAAATTTTATAAATAAAGAGAATTGAATTTTATTTAATTGAAAAATACATGTAAACTATTTTTAGAGTGAGAGACTTGGTTGATTATATTTGAAAGCTACATTTCTTGTGTGCTTATGAAGATTATCTCGACGGGCACTTGAGCCTGGTTTTGGTCATATGTAATAAAAATAATAATATAAATAAATAAGTCAATAACCTATCGGGAAAAAAAAACAGCTAATCAATGCATCTCTATATTAAAGGCAGCTCTATACTGTACACAATCATCGTTTAAGAGCTTGGACGTGTGTTAGAATTAGTTTTTTTAGTAGTTTGAGTTGTTTGGGAACAGGGGTGATGTGGTCTCTGAGTGAGCGTTCTTAAATAGCAGCAAATGTAGCAATTTTTGGGAAATAATGGTGGAAAATGAGTCTAGAAATGATAAAAGCAGCGTCCATTTCGTCCTGTTTTCGTAGCTGTCTCATTTTTTTTCGTTTCTTGTGTTTTTTTGCAGTGTGGTAATGTACTGTAAAGTCCTTGTTTAACCCTTCAGGTCTGAAATGGCCCTTAAACCCAAACATTTACTCAAAAAGCGAGAAGAAGCGACATGCCTGGACAGATCTCGTCCATGGGGCCCTCTGACTCTCACAGCTCTGTGCCAGATACAGTGTAACATGCTAAATGGTTCCATGTGATGTGTTATGTGTGAGGAGAAGCAGAGAAGGTCTTTGGGAGATTTGGAGTCCATGATGTCACTCTTATACAACAGAAGTGCTTATATAATGTAAATCTCTCCATGCAAACATTTGAATAGTGTGGGGGGGGGAGTACTGAAACAATGGTACCACGGACTCAAAGGCACAGAAAGTATGATTCAGAAGATATTTGTGATATTGTGATGTTTGTAGACCCCTAGTCTTAGTTTGTTTTAGTCATAATCTGCTAAATGACAAGAAATAAAAGATAGAAATATTATTTTTTAAAACACTTGATCTATGCATAACTACACACACACACACACACACAATGTGGCCAAAAGTGGTACTGCAGCCTTTCCCACTCTTCCTGACTCAGGTTGCCAGATATGCAGATGAATCCAGCTGGGACCATAACAGCTGAATAGACAAGAGTTTTGTCAACAACAAATCTATAACCAACACCTTTTTCACAAAGATAGAAATCCTGGTTTTATTCCTTGTTTTGTCGTTAGTTCTGCTCCACATGGTACTTTACCAGTGAGATTAGCTCCACGCCGTGAGTTCTGGTGGATCACAGACTTTCTGATTGGTAAAACGATGGAGGGCGGGAAATCGAAATGAAAACAATAACAAGATTTAGGGGCTGGAAAACTGAAATACTGAATTCAAATATCTCTGAACTACTGTTATCAGTTTAAGAAGTACTGGAAAAAGCCTGTTTTATTATTATTATGACATAATAGTGTCCTTTAATGATGACTTGACATGAAAATCTTACATATTTTTAATTTCTTCAGTAGTTTCTGTGCGGCTGCTACAGACACAGACAGAGAGGATTTCAAGGTGATTAGAAGCGAGTTTTTGGAATCAATTTTGAACCTTGGATGTTGGAATAATCAACTACCCCACCAACAACTGCCATCGTTGCTGTATGTCAGACATATCAGGATATTAATATGAAAACACAGCTTCAATTTTGTTTTGTTTTTTGGCCACACTTTTTATTCTTTTTTTAATGCTAAATTAAGCAAAAAGAAAATTAGTCTTTTATTCAACGTTTGGATCTTTTCTATTCCAAGTCAGTGTGATTTTACTAAAATATGGAATCTGTTCTACTATGCCTAGTCACTGATCATCTCCAACACGAGCTAGACTGCCCTCTAGTGGCAAACGGATAAACATCAGTAACATACACAAACATTATTTGTGTCATTTTATTACAAAAATGAATTTAAACACGGCTATATTAATTATTATTGTGAAAAGCATACATTGTTTTTTCATGTTTTTAGTAGGTACGTTTACAGAAGCCATCACAGAGATCTATTTTGTATCGTATTCATCTTATCTCAATCCTGAATGAATCCACAAATCCTGAATCGTGATAGTTGTACTTTAGAAATCATCTCCTTCACATCAGACACATTATGGTTCTGCTTTAGTCTTTCACGGATTTGCTTTAGTCAGATCCTGGATTGGTCAGGCCAAAGTCCTAGTTCTGTAGTCCAGGTTTAGTATATAGAGTCCAACTGGTTTTCAGGTTTGAAGTTACCCTAGAGTTGTCCCTTCTTCAGTCTCCCTGCTTTAGTCTCTGCTTTAGTCTCTGCTTTAGTCTCTGCTTTAGTCTCTGCTTTAGTCTCTGCTTTAGTCTCTGCTTTAGTCTCTGCTTTAGTCTCTGCTTTAGTCTCTGCTTTAGTCTCTGCTTTAGTCTCTGCTTTAGTCTCTGCTTTAGTCTCTGCTTCAGTCCCGTCTGTCTCATGGTGTGGCTCCCCTCAGCAGCAGATACAGCACAGACACCGTCAAAGCACTTGCCGTATAAACCACCACGGCGTTGTACACTACACTGTCCCTTAATCTCACGCACAAATTCGTCTGTGATTTCTCTAAACTTTTCACCAAACTCTCTTCGTTCAACATTTCTCCGAACGTTTGGACGCGAGTTTCCGGCGTCGCAGCTTCCCTCGGCTCGCTCACCGTCCTCTTCACAATCGATAAATCAGTCTCTAAACACTCCACGTTTACTTTTAGTCCATTTAAAATATTCTGAATCGTCTGCTGTCCGTCGTGGAGAGTTTTCAAAGTGGATCCAAAGTTCGTAGAGACAGCGTTGCTCTGACTCTGAGGAGTGCTTTCAGTAGTTTTGTCGTCCGTGGTTAGGCTGTGCAGAGAGAGCCTCATCTGGTGGATAAGGGCCCCGAGCTCATCCTGCTGCGTGCGGTGGTTTGAGGCCTGGACCCGTAGAGCCTCCTGTAGGTTCTCTGGCCCCTTCTGAGCTTCGAGCAACAGACTTTTGAGTTCCTGAAGTGAAGACGGAGAAATGTTAGTCGCTTTGTAAACATGGGGAGGAGAAAATCAGTCATTTCCAGACTATAAGCCGCAACTTTTCTCTAGTTTTTTGAACCCATCCATCCATTTTCTACCCTTTTATTAGTCCATTTCTGGGTTCGGGGGGAGGGCAATGAGAGCTGCCACCCAATACTCATAGAACAGGAAGATGGCTGCTGCTCCGTCAACGGTGACACAGCCTCGGTCTTTCAGCAGGGGCTTCGGGCAACGTGGGGTTAAGTGTCTTGCCCAAGGACACAACAACAGTAGACATGAGTGGGAGTAGTTCAAGTAGGTCGCATGGTGGACTCAAACCCACAACCTTCAGGCCCAAAGGCTACTAAGCCACTTTTTTTAACCCTGCGGCTTACATGGCGATGCAGCTTATATACAGTGCCTTGCGAAAGTATTCGGCCCCCCTTGAACCTTTCAACATTTCGCCACATTTCAGGCTTCAAACATAAAAATATAAAATTTTAATTTTTTGACATGAATCAACAACAAGTGGGACACAATCGTGAAGTGGAACGAAATTTATTGGATAATTTAAACTTTTTTAACAAATAAAAAACTGAAAAGTGGGGCGTGCAATATTATTCGGCCCCTTTACTTTCAGTGCAGCAAACTCAGTCCAGAAGTTCAGTGAGGATCTTTGAATGATCCAATGTTGTCCTAAATGACTGATGATGATAAATAGAATGTACCCGTGTGTAATCAAGTCTCTGTATAAATGCACCTGCTCTTTGATAGTCTCAGGGTTCTGTTTAAAGCACAGAGAGAACCATGAAGACAAAGGAACACACCAGGCAGGTCCGAGATACTGTTGTGGAGAAGTTTAAAGCCGGATTTGGATACAAAAAGATTTCCCAAGCTTTAAACATCTCAAGGAGCACTGTGCAAGCAATTATATTGAAATGGAAGGAGTATCAGACCACTGCAAATCTACCAAGACCCGGCCGTCCCTCCAAACTGTCATCTCAAACAAAGAGAAGACTGATCAGCGATGCAGCCAAGAGGCCCATGATCACTCTGGATGAACTGCAGATAACTACAGCTGAGGTGGGAGAGTCTGTCCATAGGACAACAATCAGTCGTGCACTGCACAAATCTGGCCTTTATGGAAGAGTGGCAAGAAGAAAGCTATTTCTCAAAGATATCCATAAAAAGTCTTGTTTCAAGTTTGCCACAAGCCACCTGGGAGACACACCAAACATGTGGAAGAAGGTGCTCTGGTCAGATGAAACCAAAATCGAACTTTTTGGCCACAATGCAAAACGATATGTTTGGCGTAAAAGCAACACAGCTCATCACCCTGAACACACCATCCCCACTGTCAAACATGGTGGTGGCAGCATCATGGTTTGGGCCTGCTTTTCTTCAGCAGGGACAGGGAAGATGGCTAAAATTGATGGGAAGATGGATGGAGCCAAATACAGGACCATTCTGGAAGAAAACCTGTTGGAGTCTGCAAAAGACCTGAGACTGGGACGGAGATTTATCTTCCAACAGGACAATGATCCAAAACATAAAGCCAAATCTACAATGGAATGGTTCACAAATAGACGTATCCAGGTGTTAGAATGGCCGAGTCAAAGTCCAGACCTGAATCCAATCGAGAATCTGTGGAAAGAGCTGAAGACTGCTGTTCACAAACGCTCTCCATCCAACCTCACTGAGCTCCAGCTGTTTTGCAAGGAAGAATGGGCAAGAATTCCAGTCTCTCGATGTGCAAAACTGATAGAAACATACCCCAAGCGACTTGCAGCTGTAATTGCAGCAAAAGGTGGCGCTACAAAGTATTAGCGCAAGGGGGCCGAATAATATTGCATGCCCCACTTTTCAGTTTTTTATTTGTTAAAAAAGTTTAAATATTCCAATAAATTTTGTTCCACTTCACGATTGTGTCCCACTTGTTGTTGATTCTTGACAAAAAATGTAATTTGTATATCTTTATGTTTGAAGCCTGAAATGTGGCAAAATGTTGAAAGGTTCAAGGGGGCCGAATACTTTCGCAAGGTAGTGTATGTATTTTGATAGTGATAGAGTTGGGCTGTAGTTAAAGCAGAGTTTATTATCAGATTATTATTTAGATCAAGTTTTAGTAGCTACAGGACTTATGTTTATTGTCAAAATGAACTGGTGAATGAGTGATGGAAGCTAAATGATTAAACATCACGTCACTGAATCATGTTGTGTCCAGTTAAAATACAGTCGCCTCTGTGCTACATTACAACATGAAAACCTGCGGCTTATATTCCAGTGCGGCCTAAATGTGGCCAAATTGTATATTTTAAAATGTTGCTGGTAGGGCTTATATACAGATGCAAATAATGGTCCAGAAAGTACAGTACAATTTGATTTATCAATGTAGCGATCCCAAAACAAAAACCGTCAAAACGCAGAAATACAGCCTCTCGACTTCTCACCCAAAACACCGGTGTCAGCCATATTGGAAAAAAAAACGGCATACCACCAGGCATTGGGTAAGAAACAGCCACGATACAAATGATTGACATGCAGGGAGGAAAAAGAATCATAAAACTGGTCCTGTCCAAGAAAAATCGATTGATAAAAACGTGTGTAAAACCTGGACAAACCTGATTTTGAAAGAATAGAGTTAAATAATAATGTAAATACACAAGAATCTCCTCAAGGCTACCCATAGTCTCCTTGTATATGTTTTTGTGACTGACAAACCGGAGCACCTGGAGAAAACCTTTACAACACACTGGGAGACCACTCCACTCACCTGCAGTCTGACCCTGTTGACGTAGGTGGAGCCCATGACCCCGATGAGGGCCCCCAGCACGGAGCCGATCACAGACCAGTTCTTGGTTCTCTCGGCCCGGGTTCGCTCCTTCTCGTGGCTCTCTCTCACCGCGGCAGAAAACAGAGCAAACTTCTCCCTCTCCGAGCCCTCGGCGAGTTCGTAGGCCGAGCGCAGCCGCCGGTCCTCCTGCAACAGAGGGTTCAGGTAGGACTGGTCCGGGGTCTGGGTGATGTGAACGAGTCGATGATATGAGCGTGAGAAACTGTGGACTTTAGCAGTTAAAATGATGCCTTTTCGTTTTGGAAGTGAAATGACTCTCGCTTATGTGCATTTTTGGACTTCATAACTGTATCTGTATATGATTCCTTTTTATGTCATTACTTTTATGAAAATATATTTTATTTTGGAGATGGCCATAGTTAGAGAACACTTTGTCAGGGTGCTGGTGCTAGTTAGTTACCATAGCAACACACTGTTTACGCTCCACAGTAAGCGTTTGGTAATCTTTCAACAAACCGTTTTTGCTGTATTTCAAGTTATATTAAGATAAACTTTTTTGCTGTGGGATATGGTGCTACTCAGATCTCCATGAATAAATAAAAAGAGAAAAAAAAACATAAACAGGAGGATGCTGTAGTGCTTTGAAGTGTCTGTTTGGTCCAATTCTGCATCTAAATAAATAATAAGATTTTTTTTTAAATGCAACCGTTCATACAGTTTTACAATTTTAGCACAAAAAAACAAACCTTATGACTTACTTAATTTAAGGGTCAAAAGGACAGTAGTAATGATCCAGGACATTTATAAACATTTATGGACATGGTCTCCGCCCCTTTTGTGCTGGCAAATCAACAACTTTGTAAGGTCCTCAGAGAAAACTACAGTTCTTATTTAGGGCTATACAAAAATAAATTGAATAGAAAACTAACTCATCCACAGTCATCAAAACGATTGGTTTGAGAGTTCGAGTAGTGTCCGAATTCTGCGAGTCCTGGTGTTTTTGCACAGAATTTAGATCTGCTTCACCGTCTCTTTTACCTGCAGAAGTTTGTGTTCTATTGTGGCCAGCTCCAGATAATGTGGCTCTTCCCTGGACACTCGCTCCAGCCGCTCCCGCACCTCCTTCAGCCTGACCTGCAGGGCCTCCACGTTCACATGGGCCTCTCGCACCACGGACCGGGACACCATGAAGTCCGCCTCCGCCTGACAGACAAGGAGAGGGGAAAAAAAGACATCAAATTCAGATTCTGATTCATTTTATTTGCCATTTGCAGTAAAATCACATTGGAATACATGTGCAAAAGCCCCCCACTGTACACCAGACCATTACATAAAATAAAACAAGCTAAAACGTATTTTTACTTCAGCTGTTTTCACATCTGACCTGTGTGACTTTGGTCTGCGCCCCTCGGACCTCGTTGATTCCCACAAACTCCTCGTATCGACTCCACCACACGTTCAGAGTGGAGCTGAGGGTTCTGGACGAGCTCTGTGCCCACTGTCGACCCAACGCAGCAGCATTCTGACAACAGGAGACCACCATAATGCAATGAATGAAGACTTACATTTAAAGCAGCAATATGTAAGATTTTCATGTCAAGTCATCATTAAAGGGCCCTAATCTGTCAAAAGGCATTAATAAAACATGCTTTATTCAAATACTTCTTTAACTGATAAGAGTAGTTCAGAGATATTTGGATTTCAAAATTAGTTTTCCAGCCCCTAAATCTTGTTATTGTTTTCATTTCGATGTCCCGCCCTCCACCGTTTCACCAATCAGAAAGTCTGTGATCCAGGTTGTCAGAAGTCACAGCGTGGAGCTAATCTCACTGGTAAAGTACCATGTGGCTGCGGATTTAAAAAAGCGTTGTTATGATTCTTAAAGGAACAATATGTAAAAATCTGGCCAAAAGTGGTACTGCAGTCACAGTCAATATTTTGTAGTCCTCTCCCACTCTCCCTGACTCAGGTTGCCAGATTCACACCAAATCCAGCAGCAAACACAGGGAATTATTTTATCAGTTGTTTGTCCGTCTCCATTCGCATTGCCATGACAGCCGTGCTAATGCTGAATGAATGTTTTGATTAATGTTTTTTTATTATTATTATTTGGACATTTGAGATAAAAAACAAAAACAAAATAAAAGCAATGTAATTATACATAGTTTATGCAAAATAAATAAGCAATTGATGTCCAAAATAGGAGTGGGAAGAATGGATGTTGGAACGTATTTCTTCAGCGTATCAACATCAGGGTTTTCTCAAGAGGATATCACCTTTCAATTTTATTTATTCCCTATTTTTTAGACAAACATGTAAAAGTCCCACATCAAAAAGAGACTAACATTATTTTAATTGGGGTACATGTGGTCTTAAATGATTATTTTTACAATTAAGCTATAATCTGCAAAAAAACGTCTTGACCTTCATCTTTTACCGTTTTTAGAGTAATCTGTCATAGAATGTGATAACATGCAATAAATACAAAAAGACATAGCCCGGGATCGAACCCGGGTTCCTGCGTCGTAAGCGCACACCTTAGACCACTAGACCACCGATTCACACGAACAGAGAAACTGTGAAGAACGGAGTCAAACTAGAAAATTCTGCATCACACGTGAACTTTTATCAGCTGTCTCAATTGTTCAAAGGCATCCCGATATAAATCCTCGTTTTAGTCTATGTTTTGTCATTAATGATTTGAGAGTCATAACAAGACCTTTTTTAGTTCTGCGCCACATGTTATTTTACCACTGAGATTAATGAGCCGCGCGGAGTTCTGGCAACCCGATCACGGACTTACATGACACTTCCTGATTGGCGAAACGGCGGAGGGTAGGACATCAAAATCAAAACAATAATAACTTTTACGGGTCGTAAAACTAATTTTGATAATCAAATATCTCGGCTGAACTACTGTTATCAGTTAAAGATGAATTCGAAAAGAGTATGATTTAATAACGCCTTTTGAAATATTCGGGTCATTTAATGATGACTTGACATGCAAATATTACATATTGCTCCTTTAAATCATGAATGACAAAACAAGGGGAAAAAAACAGGATTTCTATCTTTGTGAAAAAGGTGTTGGTTATAGATTTGTTGTTGACAAAACAGATATTATGGTCCCAGCTGGATTCGTCTGCATATCTGGCAACCTGAGTCAGGGAGAGTGGGAGAGGCTGCAGTACCACTTTTGGACACATTTTTACACACTGCTCCTTTAAGACTGAGATACATCACAACACGTCTGAGAACCAGCTGAATGAAACTGCAAGAAATAAACTCATATGTTTTCATTCCTTTGATAGAAAATGATTATTATTAAAAGACAGATCTTCATTTTTTAACTACTTTATCTGAAAATAGATCATCTTTTCCTGTTGATGAATATAGAGATCTTTATGATACTTGCAAACTACATCTGATTAATTGTGATTAAATTATAAAAAGTGGAAAATAGAGATAAAGGAAGACTAGTAATATTTTATGATTGATGACAGTGTAAAGCTGGGATACCTAACTTTAAAAGCACAAATATTGTAATGAAATCCAAGTAACTAGTTCCTTGCTCTCATAACAGTGGGGTTCTATCACTATCATCATCAGACGGTAAAGTTAAAAAGAGTGGACCACCCTCACTAAGCCAATCAGCTCTCAGTCCAAAAGCGTCAAATAGAGACTTACAGGGCTCTTTCTTACAAGACTGCTAACTATCACATGTTTTCTAATGAGACAGCCCATGACAGTAGGTTGTGGTCTGATTGGTTCACATAATTTTACTTTTACAAGAATCTTTCTGATGAGACAAACCAAATGTATTATTCATGAAAACTTTTGTCTTTTGCTGTAGACTTTAGTTCCTTAATTGCCTTCAATAACCTTTCTCTAACCTCATGCACATACAACCATTTGTCATTAAACCAATCACAATAAAGTTAAAACAAAACAGACTGAAAAGACACGTTGTCACAACTGTGGTTTTTACTTGTAAAGCAATGAGGGCCTTCTCTTTCACCACGTCTGCTCCTCTGTCGTTCCCCTCTGGAGGTTTGGGGTTGGGGGCCTCGCTGTAGAACCGTAGAACTGGCCTGGACCCGTTCACTGAGAAACCACGGGACAGAACGCACAGCCGGACCCCTCTGTAACTGAAAAGTGTGCATAAAATGTGAATAAAGATCAATGAATAAAAGGCACATCATGACAACACAGTAGTTTTTCTTAAGTCCAGTGCAAGTACCAATAAAAGTGGTGTATTGTATTAAGAGAACATGAATATATCTTTTTAATACTGACACTCTAGCGTCTCTGCTCGAGGTAATGAATGGTAGGGACTGTTATCTACGTGTCACTTTGTTCCAAGATGTCAAGATGGTTATTGTCGGCCCCCACATACTCTGAGCCAGTCTTGTAAGTGCTCTAAATGTTTTATAATAACAATGCTTTGAACAGCCTTAACAATTACATAGTAGCATAAATGCAGGGTCACTATAATACTATTTTAGCTAAATATGTCATTATGGCTTAGTTCTGCTGTGTATTCGTTTCAGTGTATGACTTTGAATGAGAAAGAAATGAAACTTTTATTCTATTGAAATATCAGTTTTTGTTTTAATATAAGGTCAGATGTGGACGTTATTGAACCCATGGCAAAGGGAAATGTCCCCTCTGCATTTGTAGTATGATTTTTTTTTTAACATGTTATACACCAGAAGAATACACATTTAAAATTGAAATAAATATAAAAAACAATTGCTTACCTCATTTGGAATACTTTGTTGTTGAAGTCGTTTCTCTTCCCTATTAGCCCCTGGGAGTAAATATGTGCATTCATATACTTTAGATATGAAGAGGCGCTGTGAGATATTAACAAAAAACAACCTTTCGAAAGAGATCCAGGAAGGTGAGCAGACCAGTCTAATGTCAAGTTACTTTCATTCCCGATTAGCCTTTACCTCAAATGTAACGCTCTCAAATGCTTTCTCACTCCTCGCATCGCTTTCAATCATGTATTCTAGATTCTGGGATAAATATTTAGAACATACATCCCCGACCCTTCAGTTGTCATGTCGTTTTTTACAGTTTGTCAAGGCTAAATGTTAGCATCCACATGACCCACGATGAACTGGTTGAAAGCGCATGACTGCATCCGAATTCATACAGAATACCTCCTTGGCTGTCTTCGTTCGCAGTCAAAATCGAACTTTTTTTTGAAATTTGACTACCCTATATTTGCTCAAATCTCATTTTACAACTTCAAAAATGTATGTAAAATGTAATGTCAGGAAAACCAATGGAAACGACAAAAAAGGATAAAGCTAGATGTATTTTTTATGTTTCGGATGCCATTACTGTAGTACTACTTCCGTGTTGGCCGGGGTCCTCTCTGGGTCCTAGCGCCGCGCATTAAGAAGCACGAACTCGGCTGCTGCTGTTTTGTTGGAGATTTGCCTTTTTCCCCTAAATAAAAACACAAATAGACTTCAAATATGTCCGGAAGGGATGGTGAGATGCAATTCTATTATGTAATTGGAGAAGCTGACATAAATATCTAATATGTTTAAAAATATTTAAATAAAACTGGGCGTTGCGGATTTAGCATGGAAGCTACATGGCTAAAGCGTGACTTGTCTCCAGTGGAGGCTTGCTAAAAATTATCAAATGTTTATTGCATCTGCTCAATGATTTCAACGTGTTCGGGATTTTTATATTGTGACGTATTTCGTTTGATAATTATCGAAAATTTCAGTCTACAAAGCAAGCGTCAATTTTATTTTAAATCCAGGCTATTTTTCTCTTGATACAGGACATTGTAGTTTAAATAATTAATGTTATATCTATAGAAATTCAAGAACCATTATTCAATAATCTGGATCCACCCTGGGTGACCAATGGGGGGAATTTCCAATTACTTCTAACTTGGTTCTCTATTATTTTGTTATTTCGTTTATAATTACATACGTACATAGATCAACATATTCTTTTTTTTACCATTTCAACTCAAGAATTGTGAATGGCGAATTAAAATAGGTTTGCTCAATTCTTTTTTCAAAACCGTGACCTTACTTTTTTTTTTTGCCGTGTAAAAAAATTAAGATTGAAATAACTATTTGAGTTGGCTTTTGTTCCACATTTCACAGCAGACGTGATCGCAATTTCATGTGTGTGTTTTAGGTGGTAAAAAGAAGCCTCTGAAGGCCCCCAAGAAACAAGCAAAGGACATGGACGAGGTGAGTTCTGCAGGAGGAGGGTTGTTGTAAATGGTGCATCTTGATCAGTGCTGTAGTTGCTATATTTTACAGTCTCTCAACAACTGTTTGATTTTATTGTTTTTTTAACCTTTATTTAACCAAGAAAAATCCCATTGAGATTAAGAACCTATTTTTCAAGGGAGTCCTGGTCAAGAGGCAGCAAAGTTACACATAAACACAACAGATGGATAAAATGACATATGATACAAATGACAGGTATTCAGAGTACGCACATCAAGTAAAACAATGATTGAGGTCGTCTCAAAAAACACATTCATAACCTATTTATTTTTGTAGAATTTTCTTGTCTGTAGAAGCACTCATTTCTGATGGAAAAGTAAAGCATTCTTGAGTGTTTTGGAATAGCTTGTGCTGTACATGTAAACTTTTCTATTCCCTACATTATAATGTTTGAACCGGCAATTGTGGATTTACATTCTTTTACGTGATCCTTTACATAACATTAAGGACTTCCTCAGGATTAACTTGTGTTTGTTCAGGACGAGATGGCCTTCAAACAGAAGCAGAAGGAGGAACAGAAGGCAATGGATGCGCTGAAGGCCAAAGCATCAGGGAAAGGACCTTTGAGTAAGTCACATGATCAGTCTTGGATCATATCAGAAAACAACAATTTTCATACAGTAAATAAGTGATGATTTATAACACTTTATTTTTTATGTGTGATTGTGGAAGAACATGGACATAAATATATACTTATAGATTTATTTATTGTTTTATGGATGAGCAACACAAGAGGTTGTGCGGTTGAGGTACAGCTCCCTGTGTGCTCTTACTACTGTCCTACATGTGCGCTGCAACATTGACATTTCCCCACTGCAGGATGAGTATAGGATCCCTTATCTTAATTCAGTTGGAAGGCAGGTTCGAATTGAGTAATTTTTCAAAGAGAAAATGAGCGATTCACAGATTAGATAGATTAGATTCACAAACCCGCCATTTTACTCTGAAATCTTGCATGTTTTTGCTTCATGTGGATTAGTTCTGGAAATGGAGAAATTGTTTTTAAACTAAGACTTGCATCCACCACAATTTTGAACCATCTGCGCAGATTGTGATGTCACATAACAGCAGATTTTAGCCAACGATTTGTGACTGTGACATGTGCAGACCGCTACAACAAAGTAGCAATGTTTCCATAATTAATTAATTGTGAAAAATTAAGACATTACTTTCTGAAATTGGTGACTCATTGGTTTGCCTTCAATGAACAATGAAATGTACAAATCCTTTAGACAATGTAGACTAATCTTCAACAACACTCTCATCCTCCAAATGAAAACAATGATTTTCACTCAGTATTACAGTGCCTTGCGAAAGTATTCGGCCCCATTGAACCTTTCGACATTTCGCCACATTTCAGGCTTCAAACATAAAGATATAAAAAAAAATATTTTTTGTCATGAATCAACAACAAGTGGGACACAATCGTGAAGTGGAACGAAATTTATTGGATCATTTAAACTTTTTTAACAAATAAAAAACTGAAAAGTGGGGCGTGCAATATTATTCGGCCCCTTTACTTTCAGTGCAGCAAACTCAGTCCAGAAGTTCAGTGAGGATCTTTGAATGATCCAATGTTGTCCTAAATGACTGATGATGATAAATAGAATGCACCTGTGTGTGATCAAGTCTCCGTATAAATGCACCTGCTCTTTGATAGTCTCAGGGTTCTGTTTAAAGCACAGAGAGAACCATGAAGACAAAGGAACACACCAGGCAGGTCCGAGATACTGTTGTGGAGAAGTTTAAAGCCGGATTTGGATACAAAAAGATTTCCCAAGCTTTAAACATCTCAAGGAGCACTGTGCAAGCAATTATATTGAAATGGAAGGAGTATCAGACCACTGCAAATCTACCAAGACCCGGCCGTCCCTCCAAACTTTCATCTCAAACAAGGAGAAGACTGATCAGAGATGCAGCCAAGAGGCCCATGATCACTCTGGATGAACTGCAGATAACTACAGCTGAGGTGGGAGAGTCTGTCCATAGGACAACAATCAGTCGTGCACTGCACAAATCTGGCCTTTATGGAAGAGTGGCAAGAAGAAAGCCATTTCTCAAAGATATCCATAAAAAGTCTTGTTTAAAGTTTGCCACAAGCCACCTGGAAGACACACCAAACATGTGGAAGAAGGTGCTCTGGTCAGATGAAACCAAAATTGAACTTTTTGGCCACAATGCAAAACGATATGTTTGGCGTAAAAGCAACACAGCTCATCACCCTGAACACACCATCCCCACTGTCAAACATGGTGGTGGCAGCATCATGCTTTGGGCCTGCTTTTCTTCAGCAGGGACAGGGAAGATGGCTAAAATTGATGGGAAGATGGATGGAGCCAAATACAGGACCATTCTGGAAGAAAACCTGTTGGAGTCTGCAAAAGACCTGAGACTGGGACGGAGATTTATCTTCCAACAGGACAATGATCCAAAACATAAAGCCAAATCTACAATGGAATGGTTCACAAATAGACGTATCCAGGTGTTAGAATGGCCAAGTCAAAGTCCAGACCTGAATCCAATCGAGAATCTGTGGAAAGAGCTGAAGACTGCTGTTCACAAACGCTCTCCATCCAACCTCACTGAGCTCCAGCTGTTTTGCAAGGAAGAATGGACAAGAATTCCAGTCTCTCGATGGTCAAAACTGATAGAGACATACCCCAAGCGACTTGCAGCTGTAATTGCAGCAAAAGGTGGCGCTACAAAGTATTAGCGCAAAGGGGCCGAATAATATTGCACGCCCCACTTTTCAGTTTTTTATTTGTTAAAGTTTAAATTATCCAATAAATTTTGTTCCACTTCACGATTGTGTCCCACTTGTTGTTGATTCTTGACAAAAAATTTAATGTTTATATCTTAGTTTGAAGCCTGAAATGTGTCGAAAGGTTCAAGGGGGCCGAAAACTGTATGTAATGGAACTGTATCTATAATTATCTGTTTAGTTGTGTTTAATATCTTGAAAATGCTCCTTTTTTAAACATTGTATTTCTGTTACCACTGTTGTTTTGCATGTTCCTGAGATGTTATTTTCTGTTGCAGCTGCTGGTGGAATTAAGAAATCGGGAAAGAAGTGAGCGCCTTGGATCTGTTCTTATTGTATCTTGTCACAAACTCAAACCTGACGACCGTGACGATGTGAGACCAAACCCTGCGTACGAGATGCCACACATCCTCAGTTCATTTCTGGTGTAGTTTTATTGTAAAGACAATGAAATAAAGTTTTGTAATTAGTGTTTCTATATTCGCTTCTTTTCAGTAATCCGATACGAAACACATCAACACATGGAGTTGATTAACAAATGAGAGGAAATGGTTTTATATAGCACTTTTTGGACACTCAAAGATGCTTCACATGGCGTTCATATTTGATAAATTTCTGTAGCCACACCTGCCTTTGGGAACACTGACAGAAGGGAGGCAACCAGTATGTGCCATTGGTCTCTGCACACATGAAACTTTTACTTTCTGGGTGAACGATCTGACATGGCGATGGTTAGGAACTTTAAAGCCATCTCTTTGCAATACCTGTTCTCAGAGGTCCCCCATCACCATTCTAACCAGGTCATGTCTTGCTTAGCTTCATAGATCCAACATGTTCTGGCTTACATATGCAGGTGATGCCATTTATAATACCAGTGCCTCGAAATGATTATAAACATATTGGAGTTCGACTATAAACCTTTTTTTTTTGTTTCCAGATTCCCCTATAGCCTCAATCTTTTATTTCGGTAAAAATAAGATCGCATGCATGGTCAAAATTGGACTCTCATCTTGTATATCGGAAAGAATTGTTAAAACACTCAAACAGAAGTCACCGCTTCACTGTTTGCCACCACAACAAAAAGCTCCCAGTTGGACAGCAGTAGTATTTGGAGAGAAATTAGGACTTCATAGTGATATAAATGTCTTTCATAAAACCTGAACGCGTACCATAGATTGTCCCTAAATGGCATTGAAAGGGTCTTAAATCTGACTGATGCATGTAATAGCACAAAACACACACTAGGTGGCGCGTGAACTCAAAGCAGAAAGTTGAATTAATAATAATGGTTGGGTTTTCTGCATCTTCTTTCTCCTATCCCATGATTATCCCCTGTCCTGTCTGGTTACTTATTTCTCCTTTGTGTTAATTATCTTGACGTGCTAAATAGTGACAATACAAAAATATACACACACTAAAACTAATACAAAAAACATGGCTTATTTCCTCTATTTATGGCATAAAACAATATTACGATTTTCTAAACTGGGCTACAACTGTTGTGTAGAGGGGCCCATATCGCTGTGTGAAGGAGAGGTTCCGCAGGTCTTTCCTTCCTGCTGCTGTCAGACTGTACAATGAGAACTGCTGAGCTTGTACATTTGGCTCGACACTGCAACTGAATGTCACTTTATCTACTTATTATCCTCCCCATTATGTATATAACTTTACACTAGATAGATAGATAGGTAGGTAGGTTATTATAATAGATCCATGAGGTAGATAGATTGATGTTGATCTTGAAGCATTTACAGCTTACTAAGAAACATAGGAGCTACTCATATTGTATATTTTGTGTTCTCCCTGTGTGCGCTTACTTCTGTCCTGTATGCACTGCAACAATGAAATTTCCCCACTGCGGGACTAATAAAAGGATTTCTTATCTTGTATTATCCATGATGTGAAACATGTCTTGAATGCTGTGTTTAAATGGAAACATCAGACCACACAATCCGGTAATAACAACACAAAATGGATGAATAAAAACCACAGATTAGTAAATATTTAAAAACATGTGATTGTGTGTTTTTGATCAGGCACTACTTAAGGCTTCCTCTCTTGGGGTCCTTGCAGCAGACGTCTCCGCGTCGCATTTCGGGCTCTTCCTTTCCATCCCTGACTCGCTCCTGCAATCATGGGTACGTCTCAGAAACACCGTCAAAAACACGAAAACAATACAGTTATACATATATTTTTATTGCAATCGGCTTTATAAGACTTTAAACTCCACAAACGAGTTATTTTGAAAGACTCAAACAAAACATTGAGTTAGATCTTTACGTATTTAGTTTGCCTCCACGCGCCGCAACGTGGAGCGGCCATCACGGCGTGTTAGCCACTTTAGCTTCGCTTTTACGTTTTTATATATATTTATTTATTATGCGGGCACATTACTGAACTGCTTTTATTACAACATTTGAATGCGTTTCCTCAACCATCTGTGTGTGTTTCAGGCTTTTGTCTTGACATTTTTGGCTCTCAGGGGTATAATTAACGCTACTCTGAACCGTGCCTATTTCATGTACTGTAATATTTGGATGGAGTTAATGTTTTAAAAATAACTGACTCCTAATCAGTGCCAAAGCCTTACAATAGTGGCTGTTTAAATCTCTGCTTATCTAGTAAGTAAGTAGTAAGTAATCTTTATTTATATACCGCCTTTTCACTGCAGATCTGAGTCTCAAAGCGGTTTACAATTGTTAATTTTTGGGCATTTGTCTCTCACTCCACACAGAGATGGGAGCGGGGCCAGTACAGGAGGCGCATGCTAGAACTATTGGACATATTTTTAGTGGTAGGGGAAACCGGAGGAAACCTACGCAGACACGGGGAGAACATGCAAACTCCACTCAGAAAGGCCCTGGTCCGACCGGGATTCGAACCCAGGACCTTCTTGCTGAGAGGCGAGAGTGCTATCCACTCAGCCACCGTGCCGCCCTAACCTAATATTTTTGTAGCTGAACATGTAGTGCGAAGTAAGGACAACTAAGGATATTTAAATTAGGAAAGACTAATTAAATTGACGTCACAACTTCTTTTGGTACAGAGTAAAAACGAAATCAGTATTGTCCTTTTTATGGATCAATATCTGTCCTGTTTTAGCCTTAGAACAATGTTAGTGAAGGAAACTACAACATTTCAAGTCCAAAAATTGCACTTACTTTCATGTACAAATAATCTTTATGCGTTTTGACTTAACTCAATTCTGATGTTTTACTAGTTCGTGTAGGTTTCGGCCACAGAATAATCAACATTTATCAGTGCACTACGTTTACTGATATTTATAAACTAGATTCAATGGCTTGACGCTAAATGTTTTTTGCTGCAGGAAAGTGCCGTGGTCTGCGTACGGCTCGCAAGCTCCGCAATCACCGTCGTGAGCAGAAATGGCACGATAAACAGTACAAGAAGGCTCATCTGGGCACCGCTCTGAAGGCTAACCCTTTCGGAGGAGCTTCCCACGCTAAGGGCATTGTCCTTGAGAAAGTGTAAGTAAATTCTTCCGATGAGTAAAACACAGTAGTTTTAAGTGTGTATTAACTTCCTCTTATGTTCTGTGCAGTGGTGTGGAGGCCAAACAGCCGAACTCTGCCATTAGGAAGTGTGTGAGGGTCCAGCTCATCAAAAACGGAAAGAAAATCACTGCTTTCGTGCCCAACGATGGCTGCCTTAACTTCATTGAGGTTAGTCTTGTTTACATACGTTTCTGTCTGACATGTTTTGCCATTGGGAGCACTAGCCCTCTTTTTATAGTTGCTTCTGATCACATTTATGAGCCACATGTAACACAATCAAAATAGTTGGCATCTAATTGATCCTAAAGAAGCAAAGTCATAAATTCCACTTCAATATTTGGTTTATAAACTAGATTTGCCATGACTGTGGACAGTAGTTTATTTGACAGAGCTGATGCTTTTGTGGATACTGCATTGTCGCTGCTGCACTTGATTCTAGTCTAAAATAACCGTATCCGTGTTTGTGTTGATCCCAATTGTCTTATTTTTTACAGTTCAGAACATTTAGTATTCAAACAATCATGTACTCTCTATTTCACAGTATTTACAAATGGTTGCAACTTGAATGAATTGTGTAAACCTGACCTACATTGAAATTTAGATTATATAGAGAAGGGTGTTTACAGTGACTGGAACTGCAGTTATTAATCCCTTCATGTATTAGTCATTTTTTTCCATATACTCTTGAATGTTTTGCACCCAAACCCAAGGTCCACTCTCTGTGATGATGGGATCTTTTTCGGAGTGCAAACAGTAACTTGCTCTTTGTCGCCTTTCTCTGCTGCTGTGCTGATGAAAGTGAATTCAACGGGCAACAAATACTTTAAACCGTTACCCCAAAAAAATTGACCTCACATAAAAGTGTCTTTGTTGCTAATGGCCGTGTTTCTGCCCCGTCTGCAGGAGAACGACGAGGTTCTGGTGGCAGGATTCGGGCGTAAGGGTCACGCCGTGGGAGATATTCCCGGAGTTCGTTTCAAGGTGGTGAAAGTGGCAAACGTGTCTCTGTTGGCTCTGTACAAAGGCAAGAAAGAGAGACCCAGGTCCTAAATGAGCTGAAAAAATAAATGTTTTCAAATACACATTTCTCTGCTGTTTTTTGTGTGTTCTGGTTGAGAAAGGTGGAAAAAGATTTGAATGGATTTCTAATGAGCGTGACTTGGCGCTGAAGAAACACAAGTGAACGATGTAATCCATAACTTTTAGCTGTCAGAATGGTTTTATGGGCTCTAACAAACTGTTTTCTAAAAGATTTCATTGGAGCACAAGACTCTTTAACAACCTGTGTATCACCAGCCTTGGGCAAAATGACTTGCCACAAATGTTTAAGTAGAAATAACATGGGTTTTAATGATCCAGGGCTGGTCAAGTAATAATTCAGCTGTGAATTGGGGTTAAAAGTTCATTTCCATATACACCTGCAGATGCACTGCTCATTTATCCAGTGTATTTAGAAAAGTTGCGCTCTCCAGCTTCAATTAACCTGATTAGGCATGTTTAATTAGCCTGTAACTGTTAACACCCAGGGGACATCACCCTTGTGCTTTCCTGGGATCGGCTCATAATATATGTGTGTGTATAATATATATATATAAAAATTGGGTCAATTTGACCTGAGGATGACACAAAGGTTGTAACGGGGGATGTCAGAGTAATTGGTGTTAATGTAACAGCAATTTTATGAAAGGTTAAAATTAAACTCAAATTGACTTTTTTAATATTTATTTGTTTCAACAAAATGTGTGGGGACAGTATTCTGAGCACTTTTGAACAGACTCCCATATTGAAGTATAATTTGAGATGAATACTGTGCTGCAGGTTCGTACTGTCCTGAGTATAGTTCTTTGCTTTAAGCAGTGTCCCTTTAACTGAGTCCGACTGTGGTAAAAATAACCTCAGTCCAAAGCAAAGAAACATGAGGCAGCTCCAAAACAACAGTGAACGATAACAGGAGGTCAAGGTAAAGATCTGACGCGTAATTTGGGGCAAGTATGTTTAAGTTCTATATTTATCTTTAGGCTTTAGACGTCTTACTTAAGGTCTCTTAAACACATTTCTTGCATGTGACCAACTGTAGACTGACGACGGTGGAAATGACTAACTACAAATGCATTATTATTATTAACTATATTTCTCCTGATTCTACATGAGTCGGTGACATCACAATAACACCTGAAGTCAGTGTCACATGTTCAATTCTATGGAACAATAAAGAGTTACATGTTACGTTCATGTTTTTAATGTTACGCTCAGTTAACGAGGAAGAGTCTGGAAGATGATCCAAAAGAACTATTTTCAGTAACAACTGATTTAATCCTTGATTCTTCAACTGTTTGATGCAAACTCGAAACCTGTTTGCAATAAAAACTATTTTCTTACAAAAAGATAAGAATGAAATAGTTTCTCTGAAATGATCAATTAGAATGTCCTCCAGAATATTTGTTCTGCGTTTTTGAGGAAAATCTTTACGAAATTTAGACCGGCCTCTGCTGCGAGACTTACTCCATAGGATTCATTTGGCCATACTTACATGTGAAGCTAAGCAGTGCTGGGCCTGGTTAATACTGTGAAGGGAGACCTTTGGGAACCCAGTGTACATGCTGCTGAGGCTGAAAAGAGCCATATTGTTCTTGTGTCCTTAGGCAAGACACTTCACTCACATTGTCTTGTATGAGACTTGTGGGGGAGCAGATTGGAGACATCCTTTCCTCGTGTCTGCCCCAGGGCAGCTGTGGCTATAGTTGTGGTTCAAACGTGTCTTTCCCCCATGTTTCCATTGATGATTTTAGATAAACATTTATTTAGATTTTTTCATCAATCATATACAAAACATATATTTCTGAATTAAGTCATAATTAATGTTATGTTTTTAAGCCCTCACATTGCAAACAGGAACATGGGGCTGAGAAGATTTTTCACTTGAATAAATGCATAGTTTTTGTGAGAATCGGGCAGAGGACAATGAGGGCCCAAAAACCTTTATTTTTTTACCGAATCATATGGAATTAGTGGGAAATATATTGATTTGTGTTGAATTGAAAGTCTCCTGCACCTTATCAGCTCTGAAAGATCCCAGTTTAAAGTAGCTGTAGTTTTGGGCGATGGTCATGTTTTGAATGTTTAGCAATGTCATCAGAACGATACACTTTTCTCCCTTAAACGTGAAATACCCTCAAAACCCAAACATCCTCTGGTCTGACTCTGTTTAAACCCGGTGTGAGTTCAGGCCTGGTCTTTTGACTCAGATGGATTTTGTGCTGGAGGAGGGAGACGAAGACACTGACGTACAGTTCATGATTCAACAAAGTCTCCTGGAAAACCGTCTGAGAGAACTCCGACCCTTCAGCCCCAGGTCTGTGCCGAGACCACGCCGAGACATAGAACTGTGTGGAGCAACACTGGAATTTAACCTCTGTGGCACTAATACCTGATATCAGACGTCAATAGTAAGAATGTATAGGATTTCTTCAATATAAACATTTTAAAATACGAAAGATTTAGACTAATGTTACACTGCAGATATAAATTAACAATGTTTTAAAATCACACATTCACAGTAGATGTCCCAACTCAAGACCTATTTGTTCAGACAGGGTTTCTCTCATCAGACAGGGTTTCTCTCCTCAGATAGGCTTTCTCTCCTCAGACAGGCTTTCTCTCCTCAGACAGGGTTTCTCTCCTCAGACAGGCGTTCTCTCCTCAGACAGGGTTTCTCTCCTCAGACAGGGTTTCTCTCCTCAGACAGGCATTCTCTCCTCAGACAGGGTTTCTCTCCTCAGACAGGCTTTCTCTCCTCAGACAGGGTTTCTCTCCTCAGACAGGGTTTCTCTCCTCAGACAGGCGTTCTCTCCTCAGACAGGGTTTCTCTCCTAAGACAGGGTTTCTCTCCTCAGACAGGCGTTCTCTCCTCAGACAGGCTTTCTCTCCTCAGACAGGGTTTCTCTCATCAGACAGGGTTTCTCTCCTCAGACAGGCTTTCTCTCCTCAGACAGGCTTTCTCTCCTCAGACAGGGTTTCTCTCCTCAGACAGGCGTTCTCTCCTCAGACAGGGTTTCTCTCCTCAGACAGGGTTTCTCTCCTCAGACAGGCGTTCTCTCCTCAGACAGGGTTTCTCTCCTCAGACAGGCTTTCTCTCCTCAGACAGGGTTTCTCTCCTCAGACAGGGTTTCTCTCCTCAGACAGGCGTTCTCTCCTCAGACAGGGTTTCTCTCCTAAGACAGGGTTTCTCTCCTCAGACAGGGTTTTTTCTCCTCAGACAGGCTTTCTCTCCTCAGACAGGCTTTCTCTCCTCAGACAGGCTTTCTCTCCTCAGACAGGCTTTCTCTCCTCAGACAGGGTTTCTCTCCTCAGACAGGGTTTCTCTCCTCAGACAGGCGTTCTCTCCTCAGACAGGGTTTCTCTCCTCAGACAGGGTTTCTCTCCTCAGACAGGCTTTCTCTCCTCAGACAGGGTTTCTCTCCTCAGACAGGCTTTCTCTCCTCAGACAGGGTTTCTCTCCTCAGACAGGGTTTCTCTCCTCAGACAGGCGTTCTCTCCTCAGACAGGGTTTCTCTCCTCAGACAGGCGTTCTCTCCTCAGACAGGCGTTCTCTCCTCAGACAGGGTTTCTCTCCTCAGACAGGCTTTCTCTCCTCAGACAGGCTTTCTCTCCTCAGACAGGGTTTCTCTCCTCAGACAGGCGTTCTCTCCTCAGACAGGGTTTCTCTCCTCAGACAGGGTTTCTCTCCTCAGACAGGCGTTCTCTCCTCAGACAGGCTTTCTCTCCTCAGACAGGGTTTCTCTCCTCAGACAGGCTTTCTCTCCTCAGACAGGGTTTCTCTCCTCAGACAGGCTTTCTCTCCTCAGACAGGCGTTCTCTCCTCAGACAGGGTTTCTCTCCTCAGACAGGGTTTCTCTCCTCAGACAGGCGTTCTCTCCTCAGACAGGGTTTCTCTCCTCAGACAGGGTTTCTCTCCTCAGACAGGCTTTCTCTCCTCAGACAGGGTTTCTCTCCTCAGACAGGCGTTCTCATCCTCAGACAGGGTTTCTCTCCTCAGACAGGGTTTCACTCCTCAGACAGGCTTTCTCTCCTCAGACAGGCTTTCTCTCCTCAGACAGGGTTCTCTCCTCAGACAGGCTTTCTCTCCTCAGACAGGGTTTCTCTCCTCAGACAGGCTTTCTCTCCTCAGACAGGCTTTCTCTCCTCAGACAGGCTTTCTCTCCTCAGACAGGGTTTCTCTCCTCAGACAGGGTTTCTCTCCTCAGACAGGGTTTCTCTCCTCAGACAGGGTTTCTCTCCTCAGACAGGGTTCTCTCCTCAGACAGGGTTTCTCTCCTCAGACAGGTTTCTCTCCTCAACAGGTTTCTCTCCTCAGACAGGTTTCTCTCCTCAACAGGTTTCTCTCCTCAACAGGTTTCTCTCCTCAGACAGGTTTCTCTCCTCAGACAGGCTTTCTCTCCTCAGACAGGTTTCTCCTCGACAGTTTCTCCTCAGACAGGCGTTCTCTCCTCAGACAGTTTCTCTCCTCAGACAGGCTTTCTCTCCTCAGACAGGGTTTCTCTCCTCAGACAGGCTTTCTCCTCAACATCTCTCTCTCAACAGGGTTTTCTCTCCTCAGACAGGTCTCTCCACATCCTCTTTCTCTCAACACTCTCTCCTCAGACAGGTTTCTCTCCTCAACACTCAGACAGGTTTCTCTCCTCAGACAGGTTTCTCTCCTCAGACAGGTTTCTCTCCTCAGACAGGTTTCTCTCCTCAACAGTTTCTCTCCTCACAGGCTTTCTCTCCTCAGACAGGTTTCTCTCCTCAGACAGGCTTTCTCTCTCCTCAACAGGCTTTCTCTCCTCAGACAGGTTTCTCTCCTCAGACAGGCTTTCTCTCCTCAGACAGGCTTTCTCTCCTCAGACAGGGTTTCTCTCCTCAGACAGGCTTTCTCTCCTCAGACAGGCTTTCTCTCCTCAGACAGGCTTTCTCTCCTCAGACAGGCTTTCTCTCCTCAACAGGGTTTCTCTCCTCAGACAGGGTTTCTCTCCTCAACAGGTTTCTCTCCTCAGACAGGCTTTCTCTCCTCAACAGGTTTCTCTCCTCAGACAGGGTTTCTCTCCTCAGACAGGCTTTCTCTCCTCAGACAGGGTTTCTCTCCTCAGACAGGCTTTCTCTCCTCAGACAGGCTTTCTCTCCTCAGACAGGGTTTCTCTCCTCAGACAGGGTTTCTCTCCTCAGACAGGCTTTCTCTCCTCAGACAGGCTTTCTCTCCTCAGACAGGGTTTCTCTCCTCAGACAGGCTTTCTCTCCTCAGACAGGCTTTCTCTCCTCAGACAGGCTTTCTCTCCTCAGACAGGGTTTCTCTCCTCAGACAGGCTTTCTCTCCTCAGACAGGCTTTTCTGCGTTTTTAAATCTGACTTTTCGGTGTGATTTATGTGTTTTAACGCGTGAAACGTATTCAGTATTTTATGTTTGCTTTTACAGTTGTGACGCAGAAGAAAGTCAGATTTTCACCGCAATAAGACAAGGTCAGTAAATAACTTATAGGACTGCTGTTTTCTACAACATGGGCCAAAGAACTGTTCCCATGTATTTTCAAATCAGAACAATATTAAGGCAAACATAATTCTTAGCTGCTTAGAGAGTTTTTCTACAGGAGGAAAACAGATGCACTGCTGCTCCACCTTCATCCCCTCACACCAGCTTCATACAAGTTAATGCACCGAAAAAGTGTCTTGCATAAGGACACAATGACAGTTTGCACTTTAGAGCCACCTTCCCACTGTGGTTTTACTGTGGTCGAGTCCTGACGAGAACCAGGAAGTACCATCACATTAGTCCAGTTCTCAGGTCTCTGCACTGGATTCCAAAGTACACCCGTGACATGTTAGTGCCATTTGAACCAACTGGGACTCTGCGGAGCACAGGGACTGGCCTCCTGCTGGGATTCTGAGGAGCCCAGGGACTGGCCTCCTGCTGGGACTCTGAGGAGCATAGGGACTGGCCTCCTGCTGGGACTCTGAGGAGCATAGGGACTGGCCTCCTGCTGGGACTCTGAGGAGCACAGGGACTGGCCTCCTGCTGGGACTCTGAGGAACACAGGGACTGGCCTCCTGCTGGGACTCTGAGGAGCACAGGGACTGGCCCAGAGTCAGGACTAAACATGGGGAGGCAGCTTTTCAGATGTGTGCAGCTAAAATCTGAAAGCGTCTTCCTGAAAACATGAGACAGGCTGCTTCTCTGACTATGTCAAAATCCAACAGTGCTGAACCTTCACACTTATTAATGTACTGTGTGTGTTTTTACGTTTCTTTTCATGTTTTGTTCACACTTTCCTTGTGTATAAACTTGTGCCATACAAATGACTTGCCTCGCGGTCTCCCATCCACAAACTATCCAGGCCTTGCACTGCTTAGCTTCTGCAATCAGTTGTCACAAGACAAGGCTTTGACAAACAGGTATGACCTCCCTGTTAAACTCTGATGGGCTGTGATTGGTCCTTTTTCAGGAAATGAGACGCTCTTCAGGAAGTTGTGCAGGAGTTCCACGGCTCGGATCGACCAATCAGACGCCAGAGGATGGAGCCCGCTTCACGAGGCCGCGGCCCAGACCAACCTCCGCCTCCTGGAGCTCACACTGAACGGTGCTGCTCGGCCTCTTTCTCACACATTCCTCACTTTTCTGATATTTGATGTATTCTTTTTGTTATTTCATTTGTTATTTAATTATTTTACATAACAAAGAGAGAGAGACAGAGAGATTGATAAAAGGAAGAAATACATCCATCCAGTTTCATAACAGAGAGAACAAACTGAATCTCTTAAAACTTATGCTAAAAATACAGTAATAGCGGCATAGAGGTGTCCTGGTTCAAATCCCGGCCTTTTTGAGTGGAGTTTGCATGTTCTCCCTGTGTCTGCGTAGGTTTCCTCCAAGTGCTCCAGTTTCCTACTCAGTTAAATTTACTTTCTTTTCAAATGGAGCTGGAAAAAGTAGGTACTTTTAGGCTTAAAAATTGGTCTGTATTTGTTCCTGTAGAGCCTCTTGAATAATATACTGCATTTATAGTCGATGATATTGTCCTGGATCTAAACCTTGGGTCCTGGTCAGTGGGGGAGGGTCCCGGCTATGGTCCTGGTTCATGTCCTCTGTCTGCAGCATTGGGGCGTGACTTCCTGGAACGGCGCTCTGTGATTGGTCAGACTCCTCTGCATGTGTCAGTGGAGAAAGGCCTGATTGAAAACACAGAGTTTCTGCTAAAACATGGAGCGAACCCGGACGCACCGGACCAGGACCAGGACACGCCCATCTTCACAGGTATTAATGATAGTGTTGACTTTTGAGACATGCAGGACACACTCAGATTTTAGCTGCATAAATCTGAAATGCAGCTTTCCCATGTTTAGTCCTGACTCTGGGCACTAACAGAGACCAGTCCCTGTGCTCCCCAGAAAGAGAGTTTATTAAACAATATACTGAGAAAAAAGTTTCTGTGCTGTGATTCGTAGTCTCTAAAACGTTGTTTAAATTTATGAATCTATGGCTGGGTATGTAAACTGTATATATAAGTATGTTATAATTAAAGCCACGGCAGTGAAATCATATCAAATGAAGGATTAAAAATATGGAGAAAATTGATTTAAATAAAAAAAACAGTTTGAAAGAGTGCTGCAGGTCATCTTTAACACAGATATATTTTAAAATGTGTACATGATTAAGAAAGGGCCAGTTTCTTCTTTCTGCTCCTTTTGATTTGTGTGACAGGACTACAATTATTTGAAACGTTATTGTCATATGTGGTGTATTGTCACGTCCACAATTTAAATAAATAAATAAATACCTTGGACCATATCATACTGTGTCCTTAATGAATAAAATAAAATAAAATAAAATAAAATAAAATAAAATAAAATAAAATAAAATAAAATAAAATAAAATAAAATAAAATAAAATAAAATAAAATAAAATAAAATGAAAAAAAACAAAAGAGAAAAAAAGATAGATAGAAAAGGTAGACAGACAGACAGATAGATCAATAGAGAATGAAAAATGGATCCTAGTTGTATCCTGTCTGTGCAGCGACCCGCGGGGGCCGCTCTGACCTGGTGCAGCTGCTGTTGTGCTCGGGCTCCAGAGTGAACCAGGAGGGCTGCCACAGCCGCTGCCCGCTGCACGAGGCCTCCAAGCTGGGTCACTGTGCTGTGGTGGATCTGCTGCTGAAGAGCGGGGCCCGGCCGGACCCACGGAGCCACTACGGACTCACGCCCCTGGCCCTGGCGGCTCAGGGCGGCCATCGACAGATCATGGAGACACTGCTGCGGAAAGGTGGGCTCTGGGTTTATGGTTATACACATGTATGTCTCAGGTGCAATGTTCGGAGGAGTTTTAGAGCGGTCACAACTAACATGTTTGTTTTTTTATCGATTCATGTTGGATTAGACTTAATGACCACAACATTAGAAAGATAGAATGATAGATACAGCTATAGATATTAATATATATTGATCGATAGTTAGATAGACAGATATTTTATTGTGTATATGTCACAGAGATAGATAGATAGATAGATTCTGATTCTGAGATATTTTATTGTCTACAGTATATCTCACAGATATAGATAGATATTGATAGATAGATAGATATTTTATTGTATATACAGTATGTCACAGCAGCAGAGGTGCGCTGCTTCCTGTCCTAGGGTTAATGTTTGTAGAGTCTGGTCGGTTCGAACTATTTCACCTGCTCTGGTTCAGAGTGAAATTCTGAATGCTTTAATGGCATTTTTCAACAACAAAAAATATTGGTCTTCCTCAAGTTGATTTACACTTGGGTCATCTCTGCTCTGCTCTGGTTCAGTGTAAAACCATGAACACTTTACTGCAGGAACACTTACAGCTAGAAAAAAGCAAGAAAAATGACTTCAGACTTACCGATGGCCGGCTTCCTCTAATTAGAAAAGATTAATTTTTATATTATATTTTAAGAGATTTTTATATTATATTTTAAGAGACTATTAAAAGATTTGGGCTGAGAGCTGATTGGCTGAGTGAGGATGTACTCTCTGTCACTTTTTCTGTCTGAAAAATGTGCCAAAAATGCACAAATGTCAAAAACCAAATAGATTTAGAGTACGGAGCGCGTTAGATGGATTTCAGTACATGGATTAATTTGCGCAGTTTGAAAGTTAGGTACCCCAGCTTTAGGTTGTGATCGTTCATAAGCAATAATGGAATGGGCAAATTTATTTTTATCATAAAAACATGAAGAAAAAAGCAACAAATCCAGAAATATATGGAAAGAGGGTTTATACAGGAACAATGGCTGAGAGTCGAGACACCATCTGAAATTCTGATTTTTAATGTGGTGCAGGAACAAACTTTTGTCAATAAATGTCACAAACATTTATGGACATCTATGAAAGTGTATGACATTGGTTTCTGCCCCTTATGAACCCGTGTAGAGTCCTCTGAGATCACTGCTGTTGTGATTTACGGCTATACAAAAATAAAAAGAATTAGTTCCAATGCATTTGAAAACAGTCCTCACCTTGTGTTAATCAACATTCGCTGCCAATGCTTCGCCTCCCTCTCCCCAGACACTTCCTCCATGTCTCCTCTCTTCAGGAGCGGACGTTCTGTCTCAGGCCAATGACGAGGCCTCCATTTTGTACGAGGCCTCGGCCCACGGGGACCCAGAGGTGATCCGGCTGCTACTGGAGCATGGAGCAGACCCAGATGTGCCCAAGTACTCAGGACATCTGCCCATCCACAGAGCTGCTCACCGAGGACACCTGCAGTAAGGCTCAGGAACTACAACGCTCAAAACAGTTCAACTCACAAATACTCATGCAAAACAGTTGGGTTTTTTTGTATCTGCTTTTGTCACAGATACAGATCTTATCAGAGTTGCATTTAGCTTCATCCATACTTGTTTCAGTAATCATCTGCACTAACACACCCTTCTACTGCTTAGGATTCCTCCCAAAATCACTTTTCCAAAACTTTCTGAATGTGTTAGTGCCAGACAAAGAGAAAGAAACACATTTTGTCAGTATTGTTTTTATTGAAAAGTTAAGTTTTGGGCTAAATATAATGATTTATTGTTATTAATATAATAAAAAACAGAACTTCTCTGGAGCAAATCAGCAAAATATATTAGAGAATTAATACTTTTGCATTTTCAGTTTTTAAATTTGACTTATTCATCATGAAAAATATAATATCCTTTATATTTATGTTTGCCGTTTTGAGAGAGCAGAATCAGGTCCTCATTTGCGTTACCAGTTTGTTATGTGAAGTGGTTTTAGCTCCATAATTTGTATATATAACTTTATAAATATATACAAGACAGCACCACACATTTGTTTAAATTAAACCTGATGCAAGAATAAGTCATACATAACACTTGAACTGTATCTTTCTGAACTCCAGCAGTGGATTGCATCAGTGAACAGTGTTTAGGAGATAGCTGTGTCACAGACCTGAAGATTCTGGTTTTTAAAAAAGACTGATTTTAACTGTACTGACTTGATTAGACCACGGAGAGTGAATATCACGTACTGTCTCTTTAAATGTCAAACATAGATATAGAATAATGCAGCTGTGTAGAATAATGCAGCTGTATAGAATGATGCAGGTGTATAGAATAATGCTGCTGTGTAGAATAATGCAGCTGTATAGAATAATGCAGCTGTATAGAATAATGTAGCTATGTAGAATAATGCAGCTGTATAGAATAATGCAGGTGTGTAGAATAATGCAGCTGTATAGAATGATGCAGGTGTGTAGAATAATGCAGGTGTATAGAATGATGCAGGTGTATAGAATGATGCAGGTGTATAGAATGATGCAGCTGTGTAGAATAATGCAGCTGTGTAGAATGATGCAGGTGTGTAGAATAATGCAGCTGTACAGAATAATGCAGGTGTGTAGAATAATGCAGCTGTGTAGAATAATGCAGCTGTATAGAATGATGCAGGTGTATAGAATGATGCAGCTGTGTAGAATAATGCAGCTATGTAGAATAATGCAGCTGTATAGAATAATGCAGGTGTGTAGAATGATGCAGGTGTGTAGAATAATGCAGCTGTGTAGAATGATGCAGGTGTGTAGAATAATGCAGCTGTGTAGAATGATGCAGGTGTATAGAATAATGCAGCTGTATAGAATAATGCAGCTGTGTAGAATAATGCAGGTGTGCAGAATAATGCTGGTGTATAGAATAATGCAGCTGTATAGAACAATGCAGGTGTGTAGAATAATGCAGCTGTATAGAACAATGCAGCTGTATAGAATAATGCAGCTGTGTATTCAGTATGATGCAGAGTCAGACCTGCTTCTGTGGCTCTGAGTGGTTTTTGTTGTTGCTGTTGCCAGGGCCCTGCAGCTGCTGATCACGGTGACCTCCATGTCTGCGGTGGAGGAGAGTGGGATGAGCCCCCTCCACTCTGCAGCCGCCGGAGGACACAAGCTCTGCATCCAGGTGAGACACACACACAGCATACACAAACACAATGGAAAAAAAAACCCTTGAAATATATATGTGAAAATACTGGTGAAAAAAAATAAAAAAAAATAAGGCATTACCAAGTTTTCTGAAAATAATACTGTGGATTGTAGAATTTGTTATAAGAACATACATTTAAGGTATTATATATAAGTTATTAAGACCTACTTCATGACTACCACTGATGACTGATGTCGTTGTGTCCTTGGGCAAGACACTTAACCCCACTTTGCCTGAAGCCCCCGCTGATCCACCTGCAGGAGGATCAGTGAGGGGCTGGGGCTCTGTGTACTGGGTGAATCTCTGACTGCCACCCCCCTGACCCAGAAATGGATTAAGGGGAAGAAAATGGATAGATGGATGTTTGAGAAATGTTTTTTTTTTTTCAAAACAAGAAAAGTCTGAAAATAAGAAAAAGTACTTAAAACAAAAACTCACTGCTCAAACTTTTTTCTAATAAGATTATGAAGTGTTATTATCTTAAAACTAGTAAAGTAATCTCACATGACAAACTACATTCAAGCAAAAAAAAACAACTAAAAACGGGATCTGGATTTGGAGTCATGCTTGTGAAAAAAGATCAGAATCACATTTTTGTTGTTGTAAATATGCCCACAAAATTGTAAATTAGTGACTCACAGGGCTCTTTCCTATAACTATGCAAAAGTTTATGACAAAAGTTAGGTAACCCAGCTTTAACATATGATTTTTACTGTGTCACTAGATCCAGAACAATCTGTTTAATGCCAACAATCTAATTAGAATCATTCCTTTGCTCCATTTTCTAATTTCCCATGAGGCTTTGCTGGAGGCGGGATACGACCCTAACTACATGCTGCATCCATGGCTGCGTCGTAGCTATGACGACGAGAGGAAGTCCGCCCTCTTCTTCGCCGTCTCCAATAACGACGTCCCATCAGTCCGAGTTCTGCTGGAGGGCGGAGCCATGGCCAACCAGGACCCAATCAAGTGTCTGCAGGAAACTACTACTTCTACTGCTACTTCTACTGCTACTACTACTACTACTTCTACTACGACTGCTACTATTATTACAACTACTACAAATCATGGGAGGTGTGAACTCTAAAGCTCTTAGTTTTGTCAATTCAATAAAACAATAGAAATGGTCGCCATCTGCTGGTTGTTTGTAGAACTGGACCATTGTTAAGCTACGGGACGTGAAGAATGTGCAAGCTTTTTCTCTGATTGAAGGTTTTTGGAAGAAAATCTAGGCTCTTATGACAGTTTTAGACATGCCTCTGTGTGTCCTGTAGGTGGCGCTGCGTCTGGGGAACTATGAGCTGATCCATCTGCTGCTGAGCTTCGGAGCAAACGTGAATTATTTCTGTAAAGTCAACACCACACACTTCCCCTCAGCCCTGCAGTACACCATGAAGGACGAGGTCAGTCCTGTTAAGTCCTGGTTTAGACTTGGTTCAGTCCTGGTTTAGTCCTGATTCAGTCCTGGTTTAGTCCTGATTCAGTCCTGGTTTAGTCCTTGTTCAGTCCATAGTTCCTAGTCCAGTCCTTTTTTAGTATTGCTCCAGTCCTGGTCCATTTCTTCTCTAGTCCTGGTCCAGTCCTTCTCCAATCCTTCTGTAGTCCTAGTCCATTCTCTTTCTGGTCCTGGTCTAGTTCTGGTCCAGTCCTGGTCCAGTCCGTCTGTAGTCCTGGTCCTGGTCCAGTCCTGGTCCAGTCCGTGTTGTTTTGCAGGTGATGATGAGGATGCTGTGTAACTTTGGCTACGACGTTGTCAGGTGTTTCCACTGTCCCCATGGCAACGGCTCCCACGTCCCGCACGACTACGAGGGCTGGAGCGACGCAGTCCTCAAAGACACCATGGTACCAACACACTACAGCACTTTACAACGGTACCAACACACTACAGCACTTTACAACTGTACCAACACACTACAGCACTTTAAAACTGTACCAACACACTACAGCACTTTACAACGGTACCAACACACTGCAGCACTTTAAAACGGTACCAACACACTACAGCACTTTAAAACGGTACCAACACACTACAGCACTTTACAACGGTACCAACACACTACAGCACTTTACAACTGTACCAACACACTACAGCACTTTAAAATGGTACCAACACACTGCAGCACTTTACAACTGTACCAACACACTACAGCACTTTAAAACGGTACCAACACACTACAGCACTTTACAACTGTACCAACACACTGCAGAACTTTACAACTGTACCAACACACTACAGCACTTTACAACTGTACCAACACACTACAGCACTTTACAACGGTACCAACACACTGCAGCACTTTACAACTGTACCAACACACTACAGCACTTTAAAACTGTACCAACACACTACAGCACTTTACAACGGTACCAACACACTGCAGCACTTTAAAACGGTACCAACACACTACAGCACTTTAAAACGGTACCAACACACTACAGCACTTTACAACGGTACCAACACACTACAGCACTTTACAACTGTACCAACACACTACAGCACTTTAAAACGGTACCAACACACTACAGCACTTTAAACGGTACCAACACACTACAGCACTTTACAACGGTACCAACACACTACAGCACTTTACAACGGTACCAACACACTACAGCACTTTAAAAATACTACTGATTTATTAAATGCATAATAAAAAGAGGTTAATTATTGCATTTTCTAGTTCCTAAATCTGGTTATTATAATATACATGTCTTATAATCAATGAAAAAAGGGTAATTTTTGTATATCGATTTTTGTCGATCAATTTTCGATTTTCCTTTGAAAATAGAAAATGTATTGAACGGAAAAGTACAAGTACAAGTACATAAGACCGCTTGTGCTGTTGTCCAAGAGTGTTTTTAGAGATTTAAAGTTAAACATTATATTTGATGCATTTTAGACTTTTATTTTTCATATTTTTTTTCGAGCTCGTCGCAGCACACACATTAGTCTTGATGGGTATTTAACTTTTTGTTTTCTGGTCTGCAGTTCTGTGAGGTGATGAGTCTGTCATCGCTCACGTACCTCACTGGTCACGTGGTCCTGGTTTTACTGGACTATGTGGATCATCTGACCTTCTGCTCCAAGCTCAAGTCGGTCCTGATGGAGACCAAAGAGTGGCCCCAGATCTGCGCCGTGCAAGGTCAGGGTCTGGGTCAGGGTCTGGGTCAGGCTCAGGGTCTGGGTCTGGGTCTGGGTTAGGGTCTGGGTCTGGGTCAGGGTCTGGGTCAGGGTCTGGGTCAGGCTCAAGGTCTGGGTCTGGGTCTGGGTCTGGGTCTGGGTCTGGGTCTGGGTCAGGGTCTGGGTCTGGGTCTGGGTCTGGGTCTGGGTCTGGGTCTGGGTCTGGGTCTGGGTCTGGGTCTGGGTCTGGGTCTGGGTCTGGGTCTGGGTCAGGGTCTGGGTCTGGGTCTGGGTCTGGGTCTGGGTCTGGGTCTGGGTCTGGGTCTGGGTCTGGGTCTGGGTCTGGGTCTGGGTCTGGCTCAGGGTCAGGGTCAGGGTCTGGGTCTGGGTCTGGGTCTGGGTCTGGGTCTGGGTCTGGGTCTGGGTCTGGGTCTGGGTCTGGGTCTGGGTCTGGGTCTGGGTCAGGGGTCTGGGTCTGGGTCTGGGTCTGGGTCTGGGTCTGGGTCAGGGGTCTGGGTCTGGGTCTGGGTCTGGGTCTGGGTCTGGGTCTGGGTCTGGGTCTGGGTCTGGGTCTGGGTCTGGGTCTGGTCTGGGTCTGGGTCTGGGTCTGGGTCTGGGTCTGGGTCAGGGTCTGGGTCTGGGTCTGGGTCTGGGTCAGGGTCTGGGTCTGGGTCTGGGTCTGGGTCTGGGTCAGGCTCAAGGTCTGGGTCTGGGTCTGGGTCTGGGTCTGGGTCTGGGTCAGGGTCAGGGTCTGGGTCTGGGTCTGGGTCTGGGTCTGGGTCTGGGTCTGGGTCAGGGTCTGGGTCTGGGTCTGGGTCTGGGTCAGGCTCAAGGTCTGGGTCTGGGTCTGGGTCTGGGTCTGGGTCTGGGTCAGGGTCAGGGTCAGGGTCTGGGTCAGGGTCTGGCTCAGGGTCAGGGTCTGGGTCTGGGTCTGGGTCTGGGTCTGGGTCTGGGTCTGGGTCTGGGTCAGGGTCAGGGTCAGGGTCTGGGTCTGGGTCTGGGTCTGGGTCTGGGTCTGGGTCAGGGTCAGGGTCAGGGTCTGGGTCAGGGTCTGGGTCAGGGTCAGGGTCTGGGTCTGGGTCTGGGTCTGGGTCTGGGTCTGGGTCTGGGTCTGGGTCTGGGTCAGGGTCAGGGTCAGGGTCAGGGTCTGGGTCTGGGTCTGGGTCTGGGTCTGGGTCTGGGTCTGGGTCTGGGTCTGGGTCTGGGTCTGGGTCTGGGTCTGGGTCTGGGGTCTGGGTCTGGGTCTGGGTCTGGGTCAGGGTCTGGGTCTGGGTCTGGGTCTGGGTCAGGCTCAAGGTCTGGGTCTGGGTCTGGGTCTGGGTCTGGGTCTGGGTCAGGGTCAGGGTCTGGGTCAGGGTCTGGCTCAGGGTCAGGGTCAGGGTCTGGGTCAGGCTCAGGGTCAGGGTCTGGGTCTGGGTCTGGGTCTGGGTCTGGGTCTGGGTCTGGGTCTGGGTTGGGTCTGGGTCTGGGTCTGGGTCAGGGTCTGGGTCTGGGTCTGGGTCTGGGTCTGGGTCTGGGTCTGGGTCTGGGTCTGGGTCAGGGTCAGGGTCAGGGTCTGGGTCTGGGTCTGGGTCTGGGTCTGGGTCTGGGTCTGGGTCTGGGTCTGGGTCTGGGTCTGGGTCAGGGTCTGGGTCTGGGTCTGGGTCTGGGTCTGGGTCTGGGTCAGGGTCTGGGTCTGGGTCTGGGTCTGGGTCAGGGTCTGGGTCTGGGTCTGGGTCTGAGTCTGGGTCTGGGTCTGGGTCTGGGTCTGGGTCTGGGTCTGGGTCTGGGTCTGGGTCAGGCTCAAGGTCTGGGTCTGGGTCTGGGTCTGGGTCTGGGTCTGGGTCAGGGTCAGGGTCAGGGTCTGGGTCTGGGTCTGGGTCTGGGTCTGGGTCAGGGTCTGGGTCTGGGTCTGGGTCTGGGTCTGGGTCAGGGTCTGGGTCTGGGTCAGGGTCTGGGTCTGGGTCTGGGTCTGGGTCAGGGTCTGGGTCTGGGTCTGGGTCTGGGTCAGGCTCAGGGTCAGGGTCTGGGTCTGGGTCTGGGTCTGGGTCAGGGTCAGGGTCAGGGTCAGGGTCAGGGTCTGGGTCTGGGTCTGGGTCTGGGTCTGGGTCTGGGTCTGGGTCAGGCTCAAGGTCTGGGTCTGGGTCTGGGTCTGGGTCTGGGTCTGGGTCAGGGTCAGGGTCAGGGTCTGGGTCTGGGTCTGGGTCTGGGTCTGGGTCAGGGTCTGGGTCTGGGTCTGGGTCTGGGTCTGGGTCAGGGTCTGGGTCTGGGTCAGGGTCTGGGTCTGGGTCTGGGTCTGGGTCAGGGTCTGGGTCTGGGTCTGGGTCTGGGTCAGGCTCAGGGTCAGGGTCTGGGTCTGGGTCTGGGTCTGGGTCAGGGTCAGGGTCAGGGTCAGGGTCAGGGTCAGGGTCTGGGTCTGGGTCTGGGTCTGGGTCTGGGTCTGGGTCTGGGTCTGGGTCTGGGTCTGGGTCTGGGTCTGGGTCTGGGTCTGGGTCTGGGTCTGGGTCTGGGTCTGGGTCTGGGTCTGGGTCTGGGTCTGGGTCTGGGTCTGGGTCTGGGTCTGGGTCTGGGTCTGGTCTGGGTCTGGGTCTGGGTCTGGGTCTGGGTCTGGGTCTGGGTCTGGGTCTGGGTCTGGGTCTGGGTCAGGGTCTGGGTCTGGGTCTGGGTCTGGGTCTGGGTCTGGGTCTGGGTCTGGGTCAGGGTCTGGGTCTGGGTCTGGGTCAGGGTCAGGGTCTGGGTCTGGGTCAGGCTCAGGGTCAGGGTCAGGGTCTGGGTCTGGGTCTGGGTCTGGGTCTGGGTCTGGGTCTGGGTCTGGGTCTGGGTCAGGGTCTGGGTCTGGGTCTGGGTCTGGGTCTGGGTCTGGGTCAGGGTCTGGGTCTGGGTCTGGGTCTGGGTCTGGGTCTGGTCTGGGTCTGGGTCTGGGTCTGGGTCTGGGTCTGGGTCTGGGTCTGGGTCTGGGTCTGGGTCAGGGTCTGGGTCAGGGTCAGGGTCTGGCTCAGGGTCAGGGTCAGGGTCTGGGTCTGGGTCTGGGTCTGGGTCTGGGTCAGGCTCTGGGTCTGGGTCTGGGTCAGGGTCTGGGTCTGGGTCTGGGTCTGGGTCTGGGTCTGGGGTCTGGGTCTGGGTCTGGGTCTGGGTCTGGGTCTGGGTCTGGGTCTGGGTCTGGGTCTGGGTCTGGGTCAGGGTCAGGGTCAGGGTCAGGGTCTGGGTCTGGGTCTGGGTCTGGGTCTGGGTCTGGGTCTGGGTCTGGGTCTGGGTCTGGGTCTGGGTCTGGGTCTGGGTCTGGGTCTGGGTCTGGGTCTGGGTCTGGGTCTGGGTCTGGGTCTGGGTCTGGGTCAGGGTCTGGGTCTGGGTCTGGGTCTGGGTCTGGGTCTGGGTCTGGGTCTGGGTCTGGGGTCTGGGTCAGGGTCAGGGTCTGGGTCTGGGTCTGGGTCTGGGTCTGGGTCTGGGTCTGGGTCAGGGTCTGGGTCTGGGTCTGGGTCTGGGTCTGGGTCAGGGTCAGGGTCTGGGTCTGGGTCTGGGTCTGGGTCAGGGTCAGGGTCTGGGTCTGGGTCTGGGTCAGGGTCTGGGTCTGGGTCTGGGTCTGGGTCTGGGTCAGGGTCTGGGTCTGGGTCTGGGTCTGGGTCAGGGTCTGGGTCAGGGTCTGGGTCTGGGTCTGGGTCTGGGTCAGGGTCAGGGTCTGGGTCTGGGTCTGGGTCTGGGTCAGGGTCAGGGTCTGGGTCAGGGTCTGGGTCAGGCTCAGGCTCAGGGTCTGGGTCTGGGTCTGGGTCTGGGTCTGGGTCAGGGTCAGGGTCTGGGTCAGGGTCAGGGTCTGGGTCTGGGTCTGGGTCTGGGTCTGGGTCTGGGTCTGGGTCTGGGTCAGGGTCAGTCTCAGGGTCTGGGTCTGGGTCTGGGTCTGGGTCAGGGTCTGGGTCAGGGTCAGGGTCTGGGTCTGGGTCTGGGTCAGTCTCAGGGTCTAGGTCTGGGTCTGGGTCTGGGTCTGGGTCTGGGTCAGGGTCTGGGTCTGGGTCTGGGTCAGGCTCAGGGTCAGGGTCAGGGTCTGGGTCTGGGTCTGGGTCTGGGTCTGGGTCTGGGTCTGGGTCAGGGTCAGGGTCTGGGTCTGGGTCTGGGTCAGGGTCTGGGTCTGGGTCAGGCTCAGGGTCAGGGTCTGGGTCTGGGTCAGGGTCTGGGTCTGGGTCAGGCTCAGGGTCAGGGTCTGGGTCTGGGTCTGGGTCTGGGTCTGGGTCAGGCTCTGGGTCAGGGTCTGGGTCTGGGTCAGGGTCAGGGTCAGGGTCTGGGTCAGGGTCAGGGTCAGGGTCTGGGTCTGGGTCTGGGTCTGGGTCAGGGTCTGGGTCTGGGTCTGGGTCTGGGTCTGGGTCTGGGTCTGGGTCTGGGTCTGGGTCTGGGTCTGGGTCGGGTCTGGGTCGCAGGGTCAGGGTCTGGGTCTGGGTCTGGGTCTGGGTCTGGGGGTCTGGGTCTGGGTCTGGGTCTGGGTCTGGGTCTGGGTCTGGGTCTGGGTCTGGGTCTGGGTCTGGGTCTGGGTCTGGGTCTGGGTCGGGTCTGGGTCTGGGTCTGGGTCTGGGTCTGGGTCTGGGTCTGGGTCTGGGTCTGGGTCTGGGTCTGGGTCTGGGTCTGGGTCTCTGGGTCTGGGTCTGGGTCTGGGTCTGGGTCTGGGTCTGGGTCTGGGTCTGTTGGTCTGGGTCTGGGTCGGTCTGGGTCTGGGTCTGGGTCTGGGTCTGGGTCTGGGTCTGGGTCTGGGTCTGGGTCTGGGTCTGGGTCGGGTCTGGGTCTGGTCTGGGTCTGGGTCTGGGTCTGGGTCTGGGTCTGGGTCTGGGTCTGGGGGTCTGGGTCTCGGGTCTGGGTCTGGGTCTGGGTCTGGGTCTGGGTCTGGGTCTGGGTCTGGGTCTGGGTCTGGGTCTGGGTCTGGGTCTGGGTCTGGGTCAGGGTCTGGGTCTGGGTCTGGGTCAGGGTCAGGGTCAGGGTCAGGGTCAGGGTCAGGGTCTGGGTCTGGGTCTGGGTCTGGGTCTGGGTCAGGGTCAGGGTCTGGGTCTGGGTCAGGGTCAGGGTCTGGGTCTGGGTCTGGGTCAGGGTCAGGGTCGGGTCTGGGTCTGGGTCTGGGTCTGGGTCTGGGTCTGGGTCTGGGTCTGGGTCTGGGTCAGGGTCGGGTCGGGTCAGGGTCAGGGTCTGGGTCTGGGTCTGGGTCTGGGTCTGGGTCTGGGTCTGGGTCTGGGTCTGGGTCTGGGTCTGGGTCTGGGTCTGGGTCTGGGTCTGGGTCTGGGTCTGGGTCAGGGTCAGGGTCAGGGTCAGGGTCAGGGTCGGGTCTCGGTCTGGGTCTGGGTCTGGGGTCTGGGTCTGGGTCTGGGGGTCTGGGTCTGGGTCTGGGTCTGGGTCTCTGGGGTCTGGGTCTGGGTCTGGGTCTGGGTCTGGGTCGTCTGGGTCTGGGTCTGGGTCTGGGTCTGGTCTGGGTCTGGGTCTGGGTCTGGGTCTGGGTCTGGGTCTGGGTCTGGGTCTGGGTCTGGGTCTGGGTCTGGGTCTGGGTCTGGGGTCTGGGTCTGGGTCTGGGTCTGGGTCGGTCTGGGTCTGGGTCGGGTCTGGGTCTGGGTCTGGGTCTGGGTCTGGGTCAGGGTCTGGGTCTGGGTCTGGGTCTGGGTCTGGGTCTGGGTCTGGGTCTGGGTCTGGGTCTGGTCTGGGTCTGGGTCGGTCTGGGTCTGGGTCGGGTCAGGGTCTGGGTCAGGGTCTGGGTCTGGGGTCTCGGGTCTGGGTCTGGGTCTGGGTCTGGGTCTGGGTCTGGGTCTGGGTCTGGGTCTGGGGTCTGGGTCTGGGTCTGGGTCTGGGTCTGGGTCTGGGTCTGGGTCTGGGTCTGGGTCTCTGGGTCGGGTCTGGGTCTGGGTCTGGGTCTGGGTCTGGGTCTGGGTCTGGGTCTGGGTCTGGGTCTTTTTTGGTCTGGGTCTGGGTCTGGGTCTGGGTCTGGGTCTGGGTCTGGTCTGGGTCTGGGTCTGGGTCTGGGTCTGGGTCTGGGTCTGGGTCTGGGTCTGGGTCTGGGTCTGGGTCTGGGTCTGGGTCTGGGTCGGGTCTGGGTCTGGGTCGGGTCGGGTCTCGGGTCTCTGGGTCGGTCTGGGTCTGGGTCTGGGTCTGGGTCTGGGTCTGGGTCTGGGTCTGGGTCTGGGTCTGGGTCTGGGTCTGGGTCTGGGTCTGGGTCTGGGTCTGGGTCTGGGTCTGGGTCTGGGTCTGGGTCTGGGTCTGGGTCTGGGTCTGGGTCTGGGTCTGGGTCTGGGTCTGGGTCTGGGTCTGGGTCAGGGTCAGGGTCTGGGTCTGGGTCTGGGGGTCTGGGTCTGGGTCAGGGTCTGGGTCTGGGTCTGGGTCTGGGTCTGGGTCTGGGTCTGGGTCTGGGTCTGGGTCTGGGTCTGGGGTCTGGGTCTGGGTCTGGGTCTGGGTCTGGGTCTGGGTCTGGGTCTGGGTCTGGGTCTGGGTCTGGGTCTGGGTCTGGGTCTGGGTCTGGGTCTGGGTCTGGGTCTGGGTCTGGGTCTGGGTCTGTCTGGGTCTGGGTCTGGGTCTGGGTCTGGGTCTGGGTCTGGGTCTGGGTCTGGGTCTGGGTCTGGGTCTGGGTCTGGGTCTGGGTCTGGGTCTGGGTCTGGGTCTGGGTCTGGGTCTGGGTCTGGGTCTGGGTCTGGGTCTCTGGGTCTGGGTCTGGGTCTGGGTCTGGGTCTGGGTCAGGGTCTGGGTCCTGTCATATTGAAATGTAGTTTATGCAATACCTAAGGCAAACTACACACAACACTTAAAGAACACCATTATTATGTATACCCCTGCAATAGTGCGCATATGGATAGTTCAGAATCATGTGTTATGTGGCCCTCGGACCTTTCCACTTCCACGCACTTGGTCTTGTCTCCCCCTATTTAAATGAATGAGAGTCACTATGAATTGCAAAATGTTGTCAATCGTAACAAACTGACAACATTTTGTTACCATTTTAGCAGAATTAGCTTACACTAAAATGAAATGCTCACCATAAAAAAACGAGTCCGGCCCTCCACAAAGTACCGATATTCCCCCATGGCCCCCCTGGAAAAGTAATTGTCCACTCCTGGCCTAGAGGAAGCCCACCCAGACACAAGCAGAACCATAGAATCTCTGCCCAGACAGACGTCACTCTCTCCTGTCGTCTCTAGGTGTGGTTTTGGTGTGCTTCGAGGGCGACTCGGACGGATACATAAACCTGGTGGCGTATCCGTACGTGGAGAGCGTGGAGGACGACCACGAGGAGAGGGACCCCCCGGAGAGGGAGCAACCCCGGAGGAAGCACTCGAGACGCAGCCTGCACCGCTCCTCGTCTTCCTCGGATCATAACAAAGAACAGAAGGAACAGAAGGAGAACAAGGAGGAAAGGGCCGAGAGAAGGGACCACGACCAGGACTCTCAGGAGAAGTAAAGACACAGCTTCCTGTTATTCATCCTAACACGCTCTACATTTCCAAAGGCTATAACTAAAATGTGATAAGAGAGAGAGGCTTCCTATAAAGTAGAGAAATATTAAGGATTACATTCCTCATTTGCATATTATGACGTCATGGCTTTGGCAGTCATGGATTTTAGAATTTTCATGAAAAGTTTGCAGTTTTTTCCAGACAGTCAAACAAATTACTAGGACACACAAACGCAACTCACAGGGAAATAGTAAAAAATAGCAAATCATTACTGCCCCTACTGTGAGCAGCCTGCCGTTGTTGTAAGCAGTACCGACTTAATTCAACCGTGGCTCCTAGAGGGTTAACAGTGTTATGACTGTTGTTTTTAATTTACAGAAGATCGGTCATTTTATAGCAATTTAAAACGCTTACTTGGAAGTGTTAAAATGTAATATTATAAATGTTTTTGGGCACTTTGTTGTGTACATAATTGAATAAATAATAACTGTTTAAATAGACTTTTGGTTCTGTGTCTCCCTTCAGTCAGGGCGAGCTGAAGAGTCCTCGTCTGGACCCAAAGCTCCACTCCGAGGTCCCGTTCCAGATGCTGGACTGGAACAGTGGCCTGAGCTCAGAGAAGATCAGCTACAACCCCTGGAGCCTGCGCTGCCACAAGCAGCAGCTGAGCCGCATGAGGAGCGAGTCCAAGGACCGCAAGCTCTTCAGTATCCTTCACCAGGACCCGGGAGACAGGTTCCCGGGCGCTGTACCAGCGACCACTGCTCCTGACTGAGGACCGTGGTGTTGAAGCATTGGTCAAGGACAAGCTTTTCTATGGAAACAATTACACATAACCGACAGACTTTTTAGTGGTACTTGAAACCTACGGGGAAACACGGAAACTCTTCTCAAAAAGGCCGTGTGACTTATGCTTAGAAGGTCTTTTAAAGTAAAGAGACATTAACTAGCTTCTTTACAGATGCTAGCTCTGCTTTATTATCTGACATGTTTCAGCAGTAAACTTTTTGCCTTTGTCAGAGAACCTTCTCAGCTTTAACCATAATTAATTTTTACATTATGACACCTAATGTTCACAATAGCTTTAGATTTGTAGTAGTATACTATTCAATACTTCTAAAACATGATTAGTGAAAATATGTATTTTAAATTATTTATACACTAAATTCAGTTTTTATTTTGGACATGGCTTTTTCTGATGATCCGTCCCATTCCAGTTCCAGATTTATTATATTTACCATTAGCAGTAAAACTACTTTGGAATGCATGCAACCTCCCTCCCCCAGTGTGCACCAGACAAGTACACAAAACAATCTTAAAAGTACAAGAAACTATTGTCACCATGAACCTAATCAACAAAAACAGTTTAGATAAAAAGTGCTATCCTTGGGTCAAAATTACCCCCACAATGATTTAAATTTTTTGCTGAATTTTGAGGATTTTTCCTCCAAAAGAAAGTCTCTTAATTTCTGTTCCTAATTTAAAAAGGGTCAAAATTATGGTCTAAAATACTCTTCTTTTAATCACTGGAGTCATCTCTTGTGCTATCCTCAAGTCAGAATTACCTGCCAGATTGATTAAAAGGATAATTTAAACCCTCTAAATTAGGGTCTAAAGTCTAGCGTACATCGACAGAGAAACTGGAGACAACTAGTTGCAAGGCGGCTTTTGGCGACTGAGAGGAGATGATGGAGATGATTAGTTGCCGAAATCGGTCGATGTGCGCGCTCTTACAACTGGAGATAAACAGTCGGTCTCCAGATTCAGTCAGTTGCCCGTGTTCTACTTTTCGGCAACTAGTTGTCCTCAGTTTCGGAGATATGACCCGATGTGTGCGCTCCATGCGCCGCTCCGACAGCGTGTGTGTATTGCGTGTATTGCGCCCTCTACAGTTTATATCAGAAAACACACTGTGGTTGAGGCCAGTTGCTGTCGATGTACGCGCTGTTATTCCAGAGACTGGTCTGCGACTGGGAGTTGCCCGTTTTCGTCAGATTGTCGATGTGTGCGGGGCAGCAACTCATTTGCGACGGATATAATCAGTTGCCAGTCCGATGTACGCTAGGCTTTAGGGTGTATTCAGACCAGAAAAGTCCTTTTGCTCCGGTTCGTCTTCAGTCTGTACTTCTTGCAAGTGAACTTTTTTTATAAACATATCAACGCGTGTGACGATCGGCGCTCCTATTGGACAGCGAGAGCTCACGGAGAATAGATGGAGGAAAATATCGAGCTCGTACGTCTGCTCTGTCCATGTTTGCTTTTTTTAGAGCAAAACAACCGCATTTTTGTGTGTCTTTTCCAGAGTTGGGTTATTTGTGCCTCTGCCCAAATTTCAAGGAGGCTCAGTGTCTCCTCGTTGCTCCAGGTCTGCCCACGGCTCGTTGTTGTGTAGCGTTAGCAGCTGTGACGCGTGGCCAATTCCTCACAGTTTCTGTCTGTGGCTTGTTAAGTCCAAAAAATGCGCACATAATCTTGGAGTTGTGTCGGATCGACACCGGTTGTATTCAGACCTGAATCGACTCGGACCAGAGTTTGTTTGGAAGCGGACCGAGGCCACCTATAAAAGTGGGTCTCGGTCCGGACCAGGATTCGTTTGTGTGTATTCACACCTGCATAAAAGGTCCGGATCAGAGTTCCAAATGAAACCTGGTCCGTTTAAAGTGGACCAAAAGTGCAGGTCTGAATACACCCTAAATGATCCAGGGGCGGAAAAATGAAAGTAATTTTTTCACCTTGTGAGGACAGCTCAAGGGTTAAACGGATAACAGGTTGTGGAAAGCAGCAGTTGAGAACCACCGGCGTACACATACAAAACATGAATCACTCTCAAAACCATCTTTGAGTTTGTAAATAACCGGGGAAGAGGCGACGACATAGTCCAACGCTGTGAAAAGTTGATGTTACTCTTTTCTGTCCCCGTGGTGCTCCTCCGCGGCGCTGTGCAGCTGTTGTATCACATCTGGATTCACACAGCGACGGGTCAAAGGTCACGCTCTGATGTGGAGATTCACAAACAGCCCTGGATCCGACCACAGCTGCAGAGAAAGTGCAGCAGAACAAGAAAACAACAAAGTGACGAACAAAAGCCAGATGTTTCTGCTGAGAACATTTCTCAAACACGAGACACAAAGTTTACTGTTCGGGTCCAAGTCCTTTTAAACAAATCTACTTTAAAGTACAAATATGAGGGAAGGTTTGAGTTAAAGCTGGAGTGCCTAGGTTTGGTCTTTTTTCTCATGAAGATTTTTTTTTTTTTTTCAACAGAAAGAGTCATTTCATAAAAAAATCTCTATTAAAGCTGCGGTGTCTAACTTTCAAACCACAAAAACATTGTAATAAAATCAATAAGTAGTACTCGATAGTATCTTTGGCCTCTATCACATCTTTAGGACTTTTGGTTCTGTGTCTCCCTTCAGTCAGGGCGAGCTGAAGAGTCCTCGTCTGGACCCAAAGCTCCACTGCGAGGTCCCGTTCCAGATGCTGGACTGGAACAGTGGCCTGAGCTCAGAGAAGATTAGCTACAACCCCTGGAGCCTGCTATATAAGCTTCATATAGTACCTCACAAGGCTTTCGTCCAAGTTTGCAAAAGATACATTGTTTCCAGGTGAAGATGGAAGGCTGCTTTAAGAAAATAATAATAATAATAATGCATTGGTTTTATATAGCGCAGTGAGTTGTCCTTTAAGGACAAACAACATGACATTTTTATGACACTAAAACGTAGATACCTCAGCTTCTATGAAAATGTTCACTAAATTTGATTTGATCTGGTTTTAAATATAGTAAATATCGAAATATTCATCTGCTTTGCTCCATGGTTTCTGATTGTTGTTGTTTTCCCATAGAACTGCTTGTCATTTCAATGATTGTATTATTATTAAATCTGTAATAGTGTTTGCGGCCTTACTTTTTACAGCGCCCTTAGCCTGAGAAAGCGTCTGTATGTGTGGTTCCTTAACGGTGGCTCCTGCAGAGTTCCTGCTCCTGGAGAACGTGGTGCATCACTTCTCCTTCCCCTGCATCCTGGACCTGAAGATGGGCACGCGGCAGCACGGAGACGACGCCTCAGAGGAGAAGGCAGCGAGGCAGATGAAGAAGTGTGAGCAGAGCACGTCTGCAACACTCGGGGTCCGCGTCTGTGGCATGCAGGTAACACACACGCACACACAGATACACACACACACACACACACTGGGCAATCAAGGCCGCCTTACAAAAGGTACAAAGTTGTGCCACTCTTGGGTAAAAATGACCTGCCATAGATGATTAAAAGTAGAAGAAAAACATTCTAAATTAGGATCTAAAAGGGTCTAAATAATCCAGGGCTGGTGAAGTTATGAAAAGTCATCAATTTCAGCTTGAAAAGATGTATATTTAGGGTGTTTTTTAATCACTATGGCAGGTACATTTGACCCAAGGGTAAGCATACCGTGAAATGTAGGATCATAGTGAATTGGCATGTTTTCCCTTTATCAACCTCATCACTCCTGTCCTGAAATGGCTCCACTGGCTTCCCATCACCCACTGCATGCAAAATCCTCACTTTCAAGACCATCCACAACCCTGCCCCGGTTTGGAAGTGTGTCAGGGAAAAAGCGTGTTCCAGAGCTGGTGAGAAGGCACCAGGAGCTTGTGGAAGAGTAGGATTTTGAATGCGGACGGTGATGGGGAAGCCAGTGGAGCCGTTTCAGGACAGGGGTGATGTGGTTGATGGAGGCAGTGTGTGTGTGAAGATGCGTTGGATTTTGTTGAGAGTTCTTTGAGGGAGCCCAAACGGATGGGAAGTGCAGTAACCCAGACAGGAAGTGACGAGACTATGACCCAGGACTGCAGTGGACTGAGGGAGGGGAGGGGGGGGGGGAGGCGGAGGCGGTGGATGCTGCGAATGGGAAAGAAAGAGGAGCGAGTGACGTAGCTAATGTGGGAGCAGAAGGAGCGAGAACTATCGAGAATGACACCCAGACTCTCAACCTGGAGGAAGAGAGATGTAGAGTTGTTGATTTTGTTTAGGGTGGATTTGGTTCTGTTCTCGTGCTGTCGAGATAAAGAATGTTCGAAGTGAACCAAGTGTGTGATTGTGCGTTTTCCATATTTCTTGTGATCTTATTGTTTTTTTATGTTTTTAACTTTTCTTCAGTCCCAGCAAATGATGGACTTTATCGCCCCCTGGAGGCTATTCAACTCTATTATTTAGTTCAAACTTCTAAACAAAAGAAAAATCATACAAAATAAAACAATAAAACACCTATCACTTGTTCAGCAAGGAACACACACAGAGACAAACGGGAACACACTGAGACACACACACTCACACAGAGACAGACTCGCACACAGACAGACACGCACACAGACACACGCACACAGACAGACACGCACACAGACATACACACAGAGACAGACTCGCTCGCACACAGACGGACTCGCTCGCACACACACACACAGACAGACACACACACAGACAGACACGCACACACACAGACACGCACACAGACAGACAATCACAGACATACACACAGAGACAGGCTCGCTCGCACACAGACGGACTCGCTCGCACACACACAGACAGACACACACACAGACAGACTCGCACACAGACAGACACGCACACAGACAGACACGCACGCACACAGACACGCTCACAGACAGACAATCACAGACATACACACAGAGACAGACACGCACGCACACAGACACGCACACAGACAGACAATCACAGACATACACACAGAGACAGGCTCGCTCGCACACAGACGGACTCGCTCGCACACACACACACAGACAGACACACACACAGACAGACACGCACACAGACAGACACGCACGCACACAGACACGCTCACAGACAGACAATCACAGACAGACTCCCGAGACAGACACATAGGAACTTGCACACACACACACACACACACTAATACATATTTTCCTTTTCCCTGGTTCAGGTTTACCAGCTGAACACGGGGCACTACCTCTGCAGAAACAAATACTACGGTCGCGGTTTGTCGATCGACGGCTTCAGAGAGGCGCTGTTCCAGTACCTCCACAACGGGAAGACCATCAGAAGGGACCTGTTCGAACCCATCCTCCACAAGCTGCGCAGCCTCAAGTCCGTGCTGGACAAACAGGCCTCCTACCGCTTCTACTCCTCCTCCCTGCTCATCATCTACGAGGGGAAGGTGAGGCCAGTCTGTAGAGCATCACCAAACACCTCAAAGTGATCTGATTGGGCCAAATAGACACAAAAACACACTGATACATACATACAGTATACAGAGCGTGTTGCTGATTTATCTGCGGATCTATATGGTATATATTTGTTGCACTAGACTCAAGGATGCAGTGTTATGCTTATCAAGCTAAAGACAGAGATTATTGTTATAGGAGAGATCATTTTAAAGTTTTTCTCAACTTAAAGATGCAGTCAGTGATTTTTTTTCCAGATGCATTTTTTTAAATATTGTGGGGAAAACGTCCCTAAACCCTAAAAGTAGTCAAGTAATCATGTGTTATCAAGTAGTAATGGAATTGACCAGATGCCTTTAGTCTCCAAAAATTAGCTTACCCATAAAAATAAGCCAATGGGATTCGTTCATCTCCAACGAACCAATGGGATGCGTTTACCCCCTTCACCCTCTTCCTGTTTCTCACAAGTGCACAGGAGTTATCGGATTTTCTAAAACCTAAAATGGCTGAACAGAAAAGCCCAATTTCACGTTTGTCGCCCACTCTCCCTGTTGTGAGAAAGAAAAGAAAATGCTGGATGTTTGGTTTGTTGGAGAGGGGAGGGGGAGTGGGTTCGAGTTGGTGCTACGGCTAAGCTAACAACATCGCTAACTGCATCTTTAATATTCACGTGTCTTAATTATCTTTACTAACTTCTCTCGTCTCCGCAGGAATCGCAGGACAGCTCTCCGTGGCATCCGCGCGAGCCCCACTGCTTCCTCGCCGACTCCGCCCACTGTGCCACAGACACTCCCACAAAGGCCCCGCCCCCCAAACCCCCGGCCCCTCATCAGCCCCCCCTGGTGGACGTTCGCATGATCGACTTCGCTCACTCCACTTTCAAAGGCTTCCGGGGGGACACTGCTGTGCACGACGGCCCGGATCGAGGCTACGTGTTCGGACTCGAGAGCCTGGTGGGCATCCTGGAAGACCTCCGAGACGAGAACTGTCCCGCGCACCAAACCGCCTCCTCTTCCTCCTCCTCCTCCTCCTCCTCCACCCGAAAATAAATCAGAAGAAGACAAAAAAAAACAACAAAAAAAGACCCGTGACTCCCAAATGTGCTTCTGTATGTGAGGACCTTTACAAAGTCTATTTTAATTGGTCCAATGTTGTGTTTTTATCAGTGGAGTCTAGTGGAAATGTTAATCGTTATTTTAAACACAAACAATATTATTATTATGGAGATTTTAAAGGCGGGTTTGTGGGAGCGACGACACAAGAGGTGACGGAAAATTACAGGTAGAATGTCCAGTAGGCTGCGAGACAGAAGTGGGTAGTTTAGTCGCTACCGGCAACAATGGAAGCCAAAATATGTCAAAAAGAAAAACATATACTTTAAAATGGATTTTCAGTGGCTTTGTGTAGACCTGCATATTTACATGGTGTGGGAATTGGTAAAAATGCGTCAGTTCAATAGTATTGCAATTTTTGGGCCACAATTCTATATTTTTGCGATCCTTAACATATCGCGATACAGCAGGATTTGCGATTCAATTCTGTGATATATTCCGAATAAACTGAGAGGACATGAATCGCAAAATGTCATATTTTATGGTCTGCAGATTAGAAGAAGTGCAAAAACCAAGAAGGGTGATGCAAATACTTTATCCTGTAACATTCAGAGACACAGGACCTCGTTACAGGAATTAATTATAAAATTGTTATTCTCTGACTATTAATATTATTATTTAAATACAATAAACGAGTCACAAAGCAGACATAATTGAGGAACATAAACCTCAGATGTAAAAAAAAAAGGGAAAACACAAAAGTGAAACTGATAATTCTTCTGTATTGATTTTAATTATGTGCGCAAAATATCGTGAAAAAAACAATTTATTTATTTTTTTCACCACTAATATTTACAGAATTGAGCTTAATTTGGCCATCCTTTCCTCCGTTCAATCCGTCCATTTTTTCCTCTTCATCTGTTGCCGGGTCGCGGGGGCAGCAGTCTGAGCAGAGACGCCCAGACTTCCCTCTCCACACACTTCCTCCAGCTCATCTGGGGGAACCCTCCTTTCCTATTCTCTCTAAATAACAGTAGAAGGGTGTGTGGAAGTATCTCGGCCTCTCTGTTTTCGATCTGTCTGTCAGGAGATTTGAGATGGAACCGTTTCAAACTTATCAACATGGACAGGTGCGACTTTGACCTGGTGTAGAGGCAATGATATAAGTGCTTTTGATGTCATGCTTATCTTGGAACTTGATTTTGGAAAGATCCTTGGAAAGACCCTTGGATAGATCCTTGGAAAGACCCTTGGAAAGATCCTTGGAAAGACCCTTGGAAAGATCCTTGGAAAGACCCTTGGATAGATCCATGGAAAGACCCTTGGAAAGATCCTTGGAAGGACCCTTGGAAAGACCCTTGGAAAGACCCTTGGCTAGATCCATGGAACGACCCTTGGAAAGATCCTTGGAAGGACCCTGAGAAAGACCCTGGGAAAGACCCTTGGATAGATCCTTGGAAAGACCCTTGGACAGATCCTTGGATAGATCCTTGGAAAGACCCTTGGAAAGATCCTTGGAAGGACCCTTGGAAAGACCCTTGGATAGATCCTTGGATAGATCCTTGGATAGATCCTTGGAAAGACCCTTGGACAGATCCTTGGAAAGATCCTTGGAAGGACCCTTGGATAGATCCTTGGATAGATCCTTGGATAGACCCTTGGATAGATCCATGGAAAGACCCTTGGAAGGACCCTTGGATAGATCCTTGGATAGACCCTTGGATAGATCCATGGAAAGACCCTTGGAAAGATCCTTGGGTAAATTATCTTTCCAATAAAGTTCAAGTCTACAGTAACACACACACAGCTGGCCAGATTCACTTCATCAACATTTGTACGGCTTCTTTTAAAGATAATGTTACTTTTCAAATTTCAAGGAGAGTCAAAATCTTTGGCTAGACCCGCCCATTCTCTCAACTATGCAGCTTCCTGATTGGTCGAAATCATTTCAAATCCTTGAGGCCCCTCGTCATTGGTCCGACTGTTCTCCTCCAGCTAATCTTACTGGTCGAAGCTATGCCGAAGGGGAAGGACTATTCAAAAATATATTATTGTTGAGAAATACTTGCTATGGTGGTCAGAAATATACATTATTATATATACATGTACACAATTAAATACATAGTAGGTAGCTAGCTTGAAATAAAACCTTGTCCCGGGAGAATTCTTGAATAACTGGTTGGATTACATCATTTGACACATGTGGATGATGCTCCTCCCTAATAATCCCATTGTTTCTGGAATAATCTCCGGAGGCGGTGGCTGTGGTTTGGGTAAAAATGGGTAAAAATAGTGAGTTTGTGGTAGTTTTCCTGCACCTCATGAGTCTTTGCTTCCATGAACTCGCTGAATGATTTTGCACTTGTGACAGAGCCATAGCCCAAAACACACATTTCGATATTTGTGAGGACATTACAAACTATTCATGTTTCGTCTAAATTATTATTATTTTTTGATTTGAGAATTTGGCAGAAATGCACAAAAATGTTTCTGAATGTCGTCAAAAGGGAAGCGTTTTAAAATTGTTTGCACTTTTTTTTTTTTTGGGTTTGAACATTTCCTGTTACTGTTTGACTTTTTTTGATGTAGGAGTTTTTATATTGTACAGGCTACAGTGATTAAATCATAATTTGCCAAAAAAAACCATTTTATATTTTTCAATTTTTACAGGTTTCTGGAGATTTCTTTTTTAAATTTTGGTGAATTTGCAGCTTGTTTTATGTCGACTGGAAAAAGGGCCATTGACGTTAACATAAACATACACGGGGGAACTTTAAGATATTTAAACAAATATGAAAATTAATGGAGTTTTAAGGGAACATGTTTTACTTGACTTTTTTTATTAACACCAGAATTCAGAAGCTTCTAGAACTATCCCAGAGTTTTAGACTTATTCTTACTGCTCCCATTCAAAGCAATAGAATTCTTAGAAATTCACCCAAAACAGATATTTCCACCATATTGGTCAAAAGTATTTTATAAGGATTGATTTTTTACTTTACTCCAGGTACATGAGTAATTACGATTCCCAACGCTAAAAGCCGCCATTTTGACTGCCCTGGAAGAACTGGTGTTTAAGACAAATATGAGTATGTTTTTGTCTCTCAGACTGACAACTACTTCAGTCCTGGTTTCTTGGCTTTTCCCAGTTTTATCTTTTACCCAAGGTACATGAGCGGAGTAAGCCACCAAATGGACTGCTCTTGGAATTCTAGTGTTAAAAACGATGACTTCAGTCCTGGCTTCTTAGCTTTTTCCCGGTTTAATCTTCTTCTTGTCATTTCCAAATTCTTGTCCTTTCAAAAAATCTCTCAAAATGTCCTCACAAATATGACTTTATCAATGTAACCATGAAGAATCTACAAGACCAGCCTCGACCAATCGCCTTCACTGCAAAAAAAAAAAGACAAATATACGTTTTTAATGCTGGAAGTGAGTCGTGTTTATGTGGATTTGATTCTGAAACGACAGAACAAGTGTCAAATGTCCTGCTGTATTTTAAAAAGGTGAATTAGACGATGTTATTTAAGCCTTTTCTCACTTGGAAAGCGAGAAATAGAACCTTCCAGCGGTTCAAACACAGCTTGGTCCATTTGCAGATCATGATTAAAGCTGGGGTACCTAACTTTTTCCTTATTAATAATACCTTTCATTTGCCTCAACAGAAAAAGTCTTGTATATGTCAAATGGTGCGAAAACATCAGACCCCAACATGCCGTCTTCATAGTAGTAAACGTGTTATTGTTTAGCATACTCTGATCCCTGTGAGTCACTTTTTGACTATTTAGGCTGAGAGCTGATTGGCTGAGTGAGGGTGGTCCTAGCGATGGATCCAATAGTTACATGTGGTTTGAAAGTTAGGTACCCCAGCTTTAAAGGGCCACTGCGCAACTTTCCTGATGGGGTCCGTTTCCTGCTTATCGCCATGGAGATGTTATTTATTTGCTTGGAATGTCTCTCAGTAAGATATACAACTTTTCTTCAGCTCATAAACGTGGATTCGTGAGTCAGGGTGCTTGCTCTTTTTCCAAATTAAAATTCCAGACTTTTTCCAGACTTTTAGCAGTGACATCACAAAAATCAAAAAACCAAGCGTTGATCTCAGTTCACGCCTTTGAGCACGCTGTAAAAAAGATTCTCCATACTTCATTAAGACTTTCACACAAAATTCAAGACTTTTCAAGGTCTGGAAGGCAGTGTTTCAAAATTCCATATTTATAAAGACTTTCGAGACTTGCGCAAGCCCCCTGTAAGTGTGGCTCTCCTCTCCGCAGACATGACTTATAACTTTGGAATGTTTATGGCCATATTGAGTGACATTTCAGGCAAAAAAAAGAAAATTTAAGGTGGTCCCAAGATAAACCGAGCCGCTATCAGGTACCTTGTGTTGTATCACTTTCAAAACGACCCAAAACAAGATGATTATTTCAACTAATTGTTCACGTTTTTTGACTTTTTTTTTTTTTTGCAGTGAACTCTCCCTGTTCGCCCTATGACTCCTGTCTCCTCCCTTTGTCTTTTCAACCGTGGGTGAAACCAAACGTTTATTTCTGTATAAAAAAAGCAGGTGTTGTGTTCAAAGCAATAGCAGAGGAGATTTGTAGATCAGCCTTAACTGTTTATTAAATATGGAAATATATATCTATGTATCTTTCTGTGGAATATTATTTTCTTACTGTCAAAGACATAAAGTCCACTATGAACGTCTTCTCCAGAGTGTTTGTCGGCGGCCATTTTGGGACGGTTTGACGGCGATTGGTGCGTCCTTGTGGCGCTACCGTCATGTGAAAGTCAGATCCTGTCAGACCTCTGAAGTTAAGCAGGGCAGGGCTTGGGTAGTACTGTGATGGGAGACCTCTGGGAACACGAGGGTGACACTTCCCCAACATTAAAGTGAGTTTGTGTGTGCGTGTGAATGGTTGGTGGGGATTAGAGGGGGCTGATGGCACATACTGGTTGCCTTGATTGTGTCAGTGTGCCCCAGGGCAGCTGTGGTAGGGCAGTAGTTTAGGACCGCCGTGTATGGAGTAAATAAAGTGTCTAAAAATAAGTCCTAAACGTTATTATTTTATAATTTTAGGGGGAAAAGGGGAAAAATTATATTGATATTATCCAAAATAAGTCACATTTTTTCAACGTAGACATCAATATTTCGAGTATTTTGTTGATGTAAAAAACTCAGGTAGGCGTAAAATCTGTCATTAAATACTGAGGCACTCCGTTTGGAAAGTTAAGTAAAAGTCTTGTGTCATTTAGATCAGGATTATTCTTATAAAAACAACAACATGAGACCGCATCGTTTGTCTTCATATGTTTTATTGATGTCGAGCCTGGGAAAAACCAGCAACAACACGACCCAGAGGCATTTTGAATTATTCACAGATAATGACAGAGATTCTAAGCCATTTGAATTGGTGGCCAAATGAACGCGTTCTAACCTAAAATAATTTGTGAGAGAAAAACCCCTTAAAGATTTTTTGACCATTTAAAATTTAGAAAACAATTAAGTTTGGAATTTCAGGTATTTTTTCTTAGGTAGAAAATATTTGGTGAAATGATATAACAATACATACATACAAATAGGCGTTCCTTCTGTAGCTCCCTGTGCTACCACCAGAGGGAGCCAGATTTTTTTTCTTTTTTCTACAAAATGGGAAAATTACCAGTTGCAAATACAAGCATGTGATTGTGAGAGATGAACAAAACACTAAACTACTAATATAGGACTGAGACAGATGGGGCGGAGCTACATCTTCTTCTGGTATTAGCGTGGATGGATTGAAAAACAACTGCAGGTTTTTGATGATGTTGTAACATGGTCCAAAGCTTCTTTCGAGTTTTCTCATTCTCAGCCCAGTGCGGGACGAGGAAACACAAAGGCACTTGTTTGGATCTCATTTAGACAAGCCCTACCCCCGACTGATCCACATCGAAACGTTTTGTTCTCACGCTGAATATCCAATCAGAAAGCAGAATTAGAATGACCTCGGTTGCCAGTTTCTGTGGTGAAATCCAGCTGGTTTGGTCATTGCCTGGACCTCAGCAGACACAGCCCTGCAGCGCTCCACATGCAGAGAAACAAATGTATTTATCCACAACATATTCTGCGGCGACTTCTATCTAACTACACATAAGGACTTGCTTTAAAATCTTCTTACATTAATATTTTAATTTTACGGAGCCCCATGAAAAGTTAGTGATTTTTTACTGAAGCCTCATTTCCACAGCGCAAAAACACAGGAATTGAATCCAAAAACCTTCACAACCAAAAGAAAAGTGTTTTAGGGTCACACGACTGAAAGCAGACTGGACCGGACTAGAGCATGTTTAAACCAGGACTGAATCAGAACTGGACCAGGACTGGACCATGTTTAAACTAGGACTGAATCTGGACTGGACCGGGATTGGACCAAACTAAGGGCTGCAAGCAGGACTGAACGAGGACTGGACCTGGACAAGAACTGAACCAGGACTATCCTCGTCCTTCATGATGTGCTGCCGATGGATACACATGGGTCTGGAAAAAGCTACGGTAGCTTCACAGGACAAATAAGTAATATTTATTTATATAGCGCCTTTCACAGACCAGAGTCACAAAGACCTTTACAATTGTGGGAATTTGTCTCTCACTCCACACAGAGAGCAGGGACTCGAGAAGGATTGGACAAGGACCGGACCGGGACTAGAGAAGGACTGGACCAGGACTGGACAAGAGAAGGATTGGAGAAGGATTGGACAAGGACTGGACCGGGAGTGGAGGAGGATTGGACCAGGACTGGACCAGGACTAGAGAACGATTGGACCAGGACTGGACCAGGACTAGAGAAGGACTGGACCGGGACTGGACCAGGACTAGAGAAGGATTGGCCCATGACAGGACCGGGACTAGAGAAGGATTGGACCAGGACTAGAGAAGGATTGGACCAGGACTAGAGAAGGATTGGACCAGGACTAGAGAAGGACTGGACCAAGACTAGAGAAGGATTGGACCAGGACTGGACCAGGACTAGAGAAGGACTGGACCAGGACTGGACCGGGACTAGAGAAGGATTGTACCAGGACTGGACCAGGACTAGAGAAGGATTGGACCAGGACTAGACCAGGACTGGAGAAGGATTGGACCAGGACTGGACAGGGACTAGAGAAGGATTGGACTAGGGCTGGATCGGGACTAGAGAAGAATTGGACCAGGACTAGACCAGGACTAGAGAAGGATTGGACCAGGGCTGGATCGGGACTAGAGAAGGATTGGACCAGGACTAGAGAAGGATTGGACCAGGATTGGACCAGGATTGGACCAGGATTGGACCAGGACTAGAGAAAGATTGGATCAGGGCTGGACCAGGACTACAGAAGGATTGGACCAGGGCTGGATCGGGACTAGAGAAGGACTGGACCAGGACTAGAGAAGGATTGGACCAGGACTAGAGAAGGATTGGACCAGGATTGGACCAGGATTGGACCAGGATTGGACCAGGACTGGACCAGGACTAGAGAAAGATTGGATCAGGGCTGGACCAGGGCTGGACCAGGACTACAGAAGGATTGGACCAGGGCTGGATCGGGACTAGAGAAGGACTGGACCAGGACTAGAGAAGGATTGGACAAGGATTGGACCAGGATTGGACCAGGATTGGACCAGGATTGGACCAGGACTGGACCAGGGCTGGACCGGGACTAGACAAGGATTGGACCGGGACTCAAGAAGGAATGGACCAGGACTGGAGCAAGACTGGACCAGAACCGGACAAAGCCAGTGGTCCTAAACTCTTGGTCAAACTCTTTTGTCAGCCACTGTATTCAAGATGGCGTACGGACATGTAGAGTCCTCCAGCCTCATGGACATTTATGAGTCACATTCTAAGCCTGGGACAACAATTCAAAAACATGGTGGAGGTAAATATTCCACAAACAGTCACATTTGTTCTGAGTTAACATGTTTTATCATTTGGAGCTACTTTAAAAATGACACCGTTAAATACACAACAATGGGGAACCTTTTTCTCACATCACAAAAGCCCAAATAAAAGCGTGTGTGATGATTGGTCTGCCTTAGTCCGGGCCCTTGTACAGCTCGTACTCTCTGAACAGGATGTAGTGTTTCAGTCTCTGTGGCAGCGGCAGGAAACTCATGAAGGTGGCGGACCGCAGCCGCAGCCGCCCCAGGCAACGGCGGATTCTCAGGCGACACAAGTGCTGCAGCGACCGCGGGTTTTCTGAGGGAAGAGGAAAGAAAAAGCACAATAAAAAAACACATATCTCCAAAGAACCAGTCAAACCGGTTCCTCAAAGGGCCGGTGTGGCTGCAGGTTTTCATTCCAACCAAGAAGGACCAACCCTGGGTTTTTGAGTTTTTTGTTGCCTAAGGACAGTGGTGATGATCCAGGACTTGTACTAGCATTTATGGACATTGGTCAACCATCCCCTATGGACCACTGACCGACTCCCACTGATGTCTGCTGTCGTTGTGTCCTTGGGCAAGACACTTAACCCCACTTTGCCTGAAGCCCCCGCTGAAAGCCCAAGGCTCCTGTGGACTCACCGCCTGCCTGACCCAGAAATGGACAAAGGGGAAGAAAATGGATAGATGGACTCAACAAAACCGCTGAATTCACCAACACAGATCAGAGAATTAAACAGCTAAAGGAGCAGTATGTAAACATGTGGCCAAGAGTGGTACTGCAGCCTCTCCCACTCTCCCTGACTCAGGTTGCCAGATATGCAGACGAATCCAGCTGGGACCATAACAGCTGAATAGACAAGAGTTTTGTCAACAACAAATCTATAACCAACACCTTTTTCACAAAGATAGAAATCCTGGTTTTATTCCTTGTTTTGTCGTTAATGATTTGAAAATCATAACGAGACCTTTTTTAGTTCTGCGCCACATGGTACTTTACCAGTGAGATTAGCTCCACACGGTGAGTTCTGGCGCCCGGATCACAGACTTTCTGATTGATGAAACGGTGGAGGGCGGGACATCGAGATTTAGGGGCTGGAAAAATCTGAACTACTGTTATCAGTTAAAGAAGTATTGGAAAAGAGCAGGCAACATTAGCTCAGTTGGTAGAGCCTGAAGGTCGTGGGTTCAATTCCCACCTCGACACCTTCTCCACCGACTCCCACTGATGACTGCTGTCGTTGTGACCTTGGGCAAGACACTTAACCCCACTTTGCCTGAAGCCCCCGCTGAAAGATCAAGACTATGCTCACACTTACAGAGCAGCCGTCCTCCTGTGGACTCACCACCTGCAGAGGGTCAGTGAGGGGCTGGTGCTATGAGACTTGGGTGGCATCTCTGACTGCCACCCCCCTGACCCAGAAATGGATTAAGGGGAAGAAAATGGATGGATGGAAAAGAGCATGATTTATTTATGCCTTTAGAGATTAGGGCCCTTTAATGATGCATGAAAATCTTACATATTGCTACTTTAAAACACAAAAAATGCAATTATAAAAACATTTTTAAAAATCCTTTGATCCATAAGAGGCAGATGACCAATGTCCATAATTGCCGTTGAATGGTGAGTCTCCTGGACCCTCCTGCATCGACAAGGAACCGCTCTGAAAAAATATACAGCACAGTAGCGCCCCTGGAGGAAAAGGTTGGAGACCCCCAGCCTTAAATAGAGCCTATAGAGTTTAGGGAGTCCGAGAGGGTGGACCCAGACCCAGACCCAGACCCAGACCCAGACCCAGACCCAGACCCAGACCCTGACCCAGACCCAGACCCAGACCCAGACCCTGAGACTGACCCAGACCCAGACCCAGACCCAGACCCTGACCCAGACCCAGACCCAGACCCTGACCCAGACCCAGACCCAGACCCAGACCCAGACCCAGACCCAGACCCAGACCCAGACCCAGACCCAGACCCAGACCCTGACCCAGACCCTGACCCAGACCCAGACCCAGACCCAGACCCAGACCCAGACCCAGACCCAGACCCAGACCCAGACCCAGACCCAGACCCAGACCCTGACCCAGACCCAGACCCTGACCCAGACCCAGACCCAGACCCTGACCCAGACCCAGACCCAGACCCAGACCCAGACCCTGACCCAGACCCAGACCCAGACCCAGACCCAGACCCAGACCCAGACCCAGACCCAGACCCAGACCCAGACCCAGACCCAGACCCAGACCCTGACCCAGACCCAGACCCAGACCCTGACCCAGACCCAGACCCAGACCCAGACCCAGACCCAGACCCTGAGACTGACCCAGACCCTGACCCAGACCCAGACCCAGACCCAGACCCAGACCCTGACCCAGACCCAGACCCAGACCCTGAGACTGACCCAGACCCAGACCCAGACCCTGACCCAGACCCTGACCCAGACCCTGACCCTGACCCAGACCCAGACCCAGACCCAGACCCAGACCCAGACCCAGACCCAGACCCAGACCCTGACCCAGACCCAGACCCAGACCCTGACCCAGACCCAGACCCAGACCCTGACCCAGACCCAGACCCAGACCCAGACCCAGACCCTGAGACTGACCCAGACCCTGACCCAGACCCAGACCCAGACCCAGACCCAGACCCAGACCCTGACCCAGACCCAGACCCAGACCCAGACCCTGAGACTGACCCAGACCCAGACCCAGACCCTGACCCAGACCCTGACCCAGACCCAGACCCTGACCCAGACCCAGACCCAGACCCAGACCCAGACCCAGACCCAGACCCAGACCCAGACCCTGACCCAGACCCAGACCCAGACCCTGACCCAGACCCAGACCCAGACCCTGACCCGACCCAGACCCTAGACCTGAGACCCCAGACCCTGACCCAGACCCAGACCCTGACCCAGACCCTGACCCAGACCCAGACCCAGACCCAGACCCAGACCCAGACCCAGACCCAGACCCAGACCCAGACCCAGACCCAGACCCAGACCCAGACCCGACCCTGACCCTGACCCAGACCCAGACCCAGACCCAGACCCAGACCCAGACCCAGACCCAGACCCAGACCCAGACCCAGACCCAGACCCAGACCCAGACCCTGACCCAGACCCAGACCCAGACCCAGACCCAGACCCTGAGACTGACCCTGACCCTGACCCAGACCCAGACCCAGACCCAGACCCAGACCCAGACCCAGACCCAGACCCAGACCCAGACCCAGACCCAGACCCAGACCCTGACCCTGACCCAGACCCAGACCCAGACCCAGACCCAGACCCAGACCCAGACCCAGACCCAGACCCAGACCCAGACCCAGACCCAGACCCAGACCCGACCCTGACCCTGACCCTGACCCAGACCCAGACCCAGACCCAGACCCAGACCCAGACCCAGACCCAGACCCAGACCCAGACCCAGACCAGACCCAGACCCAGACCCAGACCCAGACCCTGACCCTGACCTGACCCAGACCCAGACCCAGACCCAGACCCAGACCCAGACCCAGACCCAGACCCAGACCCAGACCCAGACCCAGACCCTGACCCAGACCCAGACCCAGACCCAGACCCAGACCCAGACCCAGACCCAGACCCAGACCCTGAGACTGACCCTGACCCTGACCCAGACCCAGACCCAGACCCAGACCCAGACCCAGACCCAGACCCAGACCCTGAGCCAGACCCAGACCCAGACCCTGACCCTGACCCTGACCCTGACCCAGACCCAGACCCAGACCCTGACCCAGACCCAGACCCAGACCCAGACCCAGACCCAGACCCAGACCCAGACCCTGACCCTGACCCTGACCCTGACCCAGACCCAGACCCAGACCCAGACCCAGACCCAGACCCAGACCCAGACCCAGACCCAGACCCAGACCCAGACCCAGACCCAGACCCAGACCCAGACCCAGACCCAGACCCAGACCCCAGACCCAGACCCAGACCCAGACCCAGACCCAGACCCAGACCCAGACCCAGACCCAGACCCAGACCCAGACCCAGACCCAGACCCAGACCCAGACCCAGACCCAGACCTGACCCTGACCCAGACCCAGACCCAGACCCAGACCCTGAGCCAGACCCAGACCCAGACCCAGACCCAGACCCAGACCCAGACCCTGAGCCTGACCCAGACCCAGACCCAGACCCTGACCCTGAGCCAGACCCAGACCCAGACCCAGACCCAGACCCTGAGCCTGACCCAGACCCAGACCCAGACCCTGACCCTGAGCCAGACCCAGACCCAGACCCAGACCCAGACCCAGACCCAGACCCAGACCCAGACCCAGACCCAGACCCTGAGCCTGACCCAGACCCAGACCCTGACCCTGAGCCAGACCCAGACCCAGACCCAGACCCAGACCCAGACCCAGACCCAGACCCAGATCCTGACCCTGAGCCTGACCCAGACCCAGACCCTGACCCTGAGCCAGACCCAGACCCAGACCCAGACCCTGACCCTGACCCAGACCCAGACCCAGACCCAGACCCCAGACCCAGACCCAGACCCTGACCCTGAGCCTGACCCAGACCCAGACCCTGACCCTGAGCCAGACCCAGACCCAGACCCAGACCCAGACCCAGACCCTGACCCAGACCCAGACCCAGACCCAGACCCAGACCCAGACCCAGACCCTGACCCTGACCCTGACCCAGACCCAGACCCAGACCCAGACCCTGACCCTGACCCTGACCCTGACCTGACCCAGACCCAGACCCAGACCCAGACCCAGACCCAGACCCAGACCCAGACCCTGACCCTGACCCAGACCCAGACCCAGACCCAGACCCAGACCCAGACCCAGACCCACACCCAGACCCAGACCCAGACCCTGAGCCAGACCCAGACCCAGACCCAGACCCAGACCCAGACCCAGACCCAGACCCTGAGCCTGACCCAGACCCAGACCCAGACCCTGACCCTGAGCCAGACCCAGACCCAGACCCAGACCCAGACCCAGACCCAGACCCAGACCCAGACCCAGACCCAGACCCTGACCCCTGAGCCTGACCCAGACCCAGACCCTGACCCTGAGCCAGACCCAGACCCAGACCCTGACCCTGACCCAGACCCAGACCCAGACCCAGACCCAGACCCAGACCCAGACCCTGACCCAGACCCAGACCCAGACCCAGACCCAGACCCTGACCCTGAGCCTGACCCAGACCCAGACCCTGACCCTGAGCCAGACCCAGACCCAGACCCAGACCCAGACCCAGACCCTGACCCCAGACCCAGACCCAGACCCAGACCCAGACCCAGACCCTGACCCCTGACCCTGACCCAGACCCAGACCCAGACCCAGACCCTGACCCTGACCCTGACCCTGACCCTGACCCTGACCCAGACCCAGACCCAGACCCAGACCCAGACCCAGACCCAGACCCTGACCCTGACCCAGACCCAGACCCAGACCCAGACCCAGACCCAGACCCAGACCCACACCCAGACCCAGACCCTGACCCTGAGCCTGACCCTGAGCCTGACCCAGACCCAGACCCTGACCCTGAGCCAGACCCAGACCCAGACCCAGACCCAGACCCTGACCCAGACCCAGACCCAGACCCAGACCCAGACCCAGACCCAGACCCAGACCCAGACCCAGACCCAGACCCAGACCCAGACCCAGACC